ACCGGGGGCTCTGCACAGAGCCCTGCGCGACTCCAATGGCAGCAGAACGCGCAGAGGTCGTGGGGGTCAGCCAACGGAGCCAGCGTCTACCCAGGCACAACGCGCACACGGACCTTTCCGGTATGTTGAACTTCTTTCGCGCCGTACGTAGCCAACCGTGATCATCGGAGGTTCAAGTTCAAGTTAATTTATTAGGTATAGCCCTGTGAGCCATTCGGCTCTTGGATCGGGTGCAACCGCAACAAACAAAAAACGTGAACAAGAAAACATCTTAAAGTGACTATGCTCAAACAGAAAATCCAAGAAAAGACAACAAAATATTGCAGAAAAAGCACTGTACACCAACGCTGTGTGCAAACATTCCAGTGGGATGCAAGTCAAACAACAACAACCACAAGACAACTTAGATTAAGGCCATCAGTCTAACTCCGTACTACAACAAACAAATATGGCCAAACCAAAAAACTTTTCGAGGTGCCAGGGTGTAAAGGCAAACAGACTAACACACAAAACGTCGTTCTGCAGGTAATGGGGTTTTTAATCTTTACGATTTTAAAAGTGCATGGGACGGGTGATATTTAGTCGACGGATCGAATTGATGAGAGGTCTCCAGGCAAACAATCTGCTGCTGCTGCCGAAACAGACCGCGTGGCGTTGTGGGTGCTGCCCTCGTCCTGTGCGTACACAGTGGACAACACAGTGGACAGGAAGGTCGATGTATGGGAAAAGTAGCCACCCAGCCTCCTCTCAACAGCGGGACTTCAAGTTCATTGTGTTTGTGAAACTGTGCCATACTGTGCCGGGTCACTTGCCAGCAAGTCGCACGTATATTTACCTGAAACTTCTACATTTTCAAATTGAGGAATATCTCTAAATGGGTTGGTACATATTGAATGAATGGGCAGTGTAATGAGTAACAGTTTATACGAAAATTAACCAAACACTTCAACAGCCTCGAATGTTACCTTTATTGTTAATGTGGAATTTCTATTTCCATTATTTACATCCGTGAAAAAGTACACAAATGAAAATGTGTTTTCCGCCAACTTTGAAAGCACTTAACGAATGAGCCAACACTAAATCCCACACCACCTGCTTCCTGATCTCCAGCGAATTAAATGTAAAGTCAGCATGCAAACATCACCATCACCACCAGCACGTGCCCCAACCCGCACGGACCGGGGAGGCGAAGTATGGTCACACAATCCCTCCCGTGGAAGAGGGCGAGCCGTAACGAAGCCACATTTGGCAATGGGGCGATGGCACACTGCCGTACCCCTAAGCCTAGCAATCAGTCGACCAGCCAACAGCAATATGCCCTATCCTTCAGAATATTTATTTATACTGGAGGAATCCGATGAGCTATAAAGCTCTTTTTTCACAGATGTCCAGTAGTGGACATCCTTGACCCGAGCCGTATCTCCACCGGCGTGTCGCCCATCATCCCCTTTGTCGCGTTGTCGTTGTTGTTTCGCTCTGCCCTCTTGCTCGTCACAGTTGGTCCTTCCCCTGCACCTCCAATTAGCACGGTTGGCTACGTACGGTGCGAAAGAAGTTCAACATACAGCTAACATACACACAGCGACAACGCCCTGCTTTGGCCGGGCGTGACGGGGGTGGTGGCTGTTAGGGTAGCAGCCCTGGCCCTGTCAGACGCCGCTAGGGGGGGGGAGGTTGAGTTAGTAGGGGGGGGGGGGGAGAGAGGCCGGGGCGCAGGAGACCCGTGGGGTGGTGGAGACCGGGGAAGCCGGGGGGGGGGGTCGACGTCTCCTCCCGGTCGTTTTTTGTTTCATGACTCCCGGAGCTGCTGATCCCCCTCTAAGCCCCGAAACAGCGTTCCGATTTTTTTAAAAATAAAATTCAATCCTAGCAGTGCCACGCAGCTCAATTAAAGAGCTAAAGCGACCCCCCTCCCCCTTTCTCTCTTTATTCACAGCGAGTTGAAAGAGAAAACGGATGCTGCTCGAGTTCCTGTTTCAGCTGCTGCTGCTTTTTTGGAGTAGGTTTTTTTTTGTCTTGTTTAAGCTTTTTTTTTACAATTCTTGTTTCTTGCTTTAAGTGGGGAAGTGGTTTTGTCCAAAGCCCGGAGAGTTATTTCCGCCCTCCACTGTTAGGGATGCCCAGATGTCTCGAGCACGCTCCTGCAGTTGATTCTGTTGTGCACGATCGTGGGGCAAGGCCATTCATTTGTTGATGGAACACTTGGACACGAACACAGCCCTTTTGCCGCTCCACCGTTGTGGCCACTGGGTTGGTGAAGGCAAGAAGTTGGAGCTGAAGCGTGGAAACAGCACGGTTACAATGATGGATGTTGTGATTCCCAGAATATACTCAATGTCTACTATGTATATTCAAAACTGTTGACATTATTACCACCAGTTGTTTACACCAAATTTCTTAATGTAGCCCCACAGTACAAAATAGAGTTTACAAACTGTAAGTCGGTAAAAAATTCTGCCCTCTATTTGCTATGAAGGCCCATGCCTAAAACGTCGCCGATTCTATTTTTCCCTCAGGGCCACAACAATATTGTGATTTCTGTATTCAATGTATTTTTTTTACGAATGCGTTTTGTTTGTATTGCATTGCGCTTGTGCGCCACTGTCAACGCAGAAGCAGCATCGCCAAATACTCTGCTTAGCTCTTTTCAACGGATGCACGAGTGTCTTCTAAGTCAGAGGTTAAATCCCTGCATTGTACTTGTGGATTCCTGCACGGGCAAAACAACGCCTACCTGTGCAATCGTACTTGCACATCCTACGCTACGCATGGGTAAATCCTTGCTGCTTAGACGCATGCTTACATTGATAACGGGGAAGAGGCGGGTGTATAAATAACGTAAATATGTTGCTGGGACCGAGGCCGTCAGACTTGAACAGATAGTTGGGAGGTTGAGAGCATGGAAGGCCGAGGGAGAGTTCCAAAACCACGGGGCTAGCAGAGGAGAAAGGGTGACCTCCCACTGGGTGTCGGCTGACTGAGGGGGGATGCTTGACAGAAGCCTTTGATTGCTGGAACAGAGAGGAGAGGGAGTAGAGTGAGGGGAAAGGGAGGTGGGGGAGAGAGTCCACGGGGAACAGGGTATTGAAGTTGATCAGGGATTGGATTGGGAGCCTTGCCTTGGCATTTTTTGAACCATTTAGATTTTTTCGGTGAGATATTTGGCGAGGCCATAGAGTGGAGAGTTGTGGTAGTCGACTCCCCACGTGATGAGTGGTCGTCAGGCCCACTGTGTATCCAATAAGCCCTGGAACATAAATGAATGCTCTTTAGATACTGTGGTTGGTACCGCAGGCTGGCATGCCTGTGTTACATGTCGTGCTTTAATCATTGCATTGCAAATACCCTCTGCGCTTTTGCTCTTTCGAGTATAATTACGTATATGACCAGAGGACTTTCAAGGGAAGGGGTTTTCGGGTCCCATTTCTCAGCCAGGCTGACCCTGCCCTCTGCAGGCAACACTTTCACACTGCAGGTGACACAAACTGGGCCATAGCGTGGTATACTTGATGAGACACACGGGGATACAGAGGCTCATGGAGACACAGACACCGAGAGATGAATTAAAATACAAGTCAAAGCAGTGTGATGGTGGCGGTGCAATACAAACTATGGGCCGTATGGTAAACCCACTGTATTCTGCGCTTCTCAACGGAGGAAGAATAGCAAAACGACACGGACTCTCTCCTTAAAGCCCTCTACAGGCTAGAAAACCTCGACACTGGCATGTAGCTCGATAAGCAAGAGAAATTCCACACCACCATCAGTTCTTGATTTTGTATCGATATTGTGATCGTCGTTATTCCTGTTATCAACTTTTATTGTATTTCTTTTGGAATGTCTTCGTACTTGGGAGTGTAGGTTTTTTGTACTGCGCTTTGATACGTTATGAAATGTCTTCATCAATTTAAGAGTATTCGTAGCACCAGTTATCTACACCCAGCAAGAGAATGGAAATGTGGACTGTCACACACACAACAGGGTAATTTTAAACCAATTTAAATATGCTTTCATATCTCCTATATATCTTTGACAGTTTAATGTGGCATGTACGCAAGCAATGTTCTTGCTATACGTTGGTTTATATTAATCTAGAACACACAACACATTTTCACATACGTAAACATAAAAATTTCACCTCCAACTTTTATGCAATCAAAACCCTGGCCCTGTGTTATGCGAGTTATTCTAAATTGCATTCACAAAGCACTGCAACTCACGAGTGTCAATTTTCACTCTGAAAAAACACACGCAAATGAAACGAGTTGAACAAACGTACAATCCAAATCCAGAGGAAATATCCAAGACGTGAAATAGTCTGGTCGCTTGTGAACAAATGGCCGACGTAGTACGAGTTGCAGTTCGTTCGTCGTGCGGGCCCGAGTCGCCTTCTGAAGGGGAATCGTTCAGTGAAGCAGGTTTATTGCATGCAGGGTCCTTGAGCTACGAAGCCCTCGGACAATGAGGGCCTCTTGTTCCTCCGAGTGGCAATTACGAACACTGGAAGCTTAGCAGAGATAAGTTGCTCGACCACAAATTGCCGATGAAGGACGTAACATGCTCCGGTGTGGACAGCACACGATTCTAAAGTACAATTATGGAGAGAGTGGGGGAAAAATGGAAAAACGCGATAAACGGTTGGCAAACATTCACAAGAGATCTAAAGCAAAGCCACGTCCTGTATACGTTGTCAAGCCCAGGCATGCTTGGGACAACCCTGACTGGCGATACAAATCTTACAATCAGTCTGCGTTGCCGTGGAACAACATGGGTAAACACCAGTGGAACTCTGTTCTATCTCCCCACATTTAAATACAAATAGTCCTAAGTGCATCAGCCCCTTGGTTTTCCCGACCAACATGATCAAGCAGCATTTAAGAGAGCAATTTCGGGGCAGGGTTTGACCTCATGTCTCGTGATCTGTCCGGCGGCTTGTTAAACGAATACAGTACTGCTGGATTAACAGACGTAACGATATGACACGAATATTGGCAAGTGTGGTCAGTGATTTGTTTTATTCATTGTGAAACTGCCTTACACGCTTACTGGCAGCTTGGAAGGGTTATAATACAATGTATACTTCCAACAAGCTCCATGTATATATTACATGCTTACCACATTATGGTACTCCACTTGAGAAGCGGTATTAACAAGGTTTTACTACCTTGGCAAGAGTATCCTAAACTTCAATGCTATAAAATAATCTCGTCTGATGTAATTATTTGAGAACAAAAATATCATTATCAAGTAAATGGCCCAAGCCTACCTCGGAGTGTCATTGTGAATTAAGTTAAGTTTTAGTACGAGTAGTCATTAAACCAACAGCAACATTGTCAATAACAAAAGTACACAACTGCTAAAATTCTTTAACACCAACATTCCCAATAGTTTGCAGACTTTTTTGCAATGTTTTGTTTTGATGCTTAAGGTTTAATCCCCGTATTATTCCTAGTTCCGATGAGTTCCTTAGCAGAAACATAAAAAACACCAGTCTTAATTAAAGGGTGGCATCGCCATGTGACTACCTGTCATCGTCTTGTGACCGATCAAGGCACTACGAGTGCACGTCACTCGAGTACACACTTTCAACTGATACAGAAGTGACTAAAAATGGTAAAATATATAACGTATTGTAACAACTAATGTAATTGTGCAACCCAGGAAGTCTCAGTGGCAAATTTCAAAATCAACGTATTGACATTAAGTTAATTTTAATGATTATATAAATGTAATGACACAACACAAGCTTGCAGTCTTATGACACTAAATCAATTAAAATTAAATCCACAAGCCGGGAACTAACTCTGCTCCAGCGTGCGTTTCAATGTGCAAACAGCGGGCTCGCAGCTCGTGAATGCTTTCATAAGTTGGGGGGAAAAAAAGAACAACCATTCGCTCTGTTGGCCACTCCCAGCAATGTGAAATCCAGACTGGCTGTTTAGTCCAGCGATGAAGAACCTACGGCCCGTGGGCCAAGCATTTAATATGGCCCAAGGCCACATGAGGCCTATCACACATCATAATGGCCTGCATCGCAGCCACATTGAATTGGTTCTTAGGAGGGGATTCGTTTCGACCTGGCAACAACACTTGTGTTTAGAATTGGAGCAGTTGCAGTAACTTCTGTCACGGCAAGGGCCTCCACCCCCCCCCGCCCCACAGTGATAGCAGCGACCGAGGCGAGCGTTAACGCATAGACACCGTCAACAGTCTCTGAAAGTCGGATTGAGCCCTCGGTCAGGGAGAGGGGAGCCCACCACTGCTTTAGCCAGCTGGACTGAAGTTCAGTTCGTTACATTCGCGTGATACAAAAACAATACTATTCTTTGAAATGTTGCGAAGGAAACGGAGCATGTGGGCACGAGCAAGCAGTACAGCCATAAAAGCAAAACACAAGCGAGGTTTCAGCAAACCCGAGCTCAAGAGACAATCTGAAGCAGTTGGAGCGCATTATGGCTTTGGTTTGTCAGGGCTCCTCAAAGCTGTATTAAGACGCGACCATATTACAAGTCCATTAATCCACATATTCCAGTCAACCAGTGTAGCTTACTAATTATTCTTGCAATGGCAAGGACAACTCGAAACACACTGCAAAATTATAACACGATAAAGAAAGATGTGCACAGTTTAGAACAAAAAAAACTAATTACGAGTATGATTCTGATAGTCATGCAGCAATTTCTAATTGCGTAAATTCAGTGGAAAACGGTGAATCGAGAGTAAAACTGTGAGGTGACGTTGACAGTGTATTCGACTACAATGGTAAACGCTGTGACACAGAAACGGTGAACAGAAGTTTGCAAATTCACTCGACATATGCAACATTTGTAGATGGTCAAAAAGCTTTTAGTGTTTATTCAATGCAACGTAATAATCTACTTAATTTAAATACATTCCATCAGGCTGCTTCCTCATTTTGTAAATAATACCAATGTATTGCAGGTGGTCGACTTAGTCATCCCAGCTTGAACCAACTCAGACTGAGCACGTTTCGATTGCTTACGGTATTTTCACCACACCTGTGGAGGTACTTAGGAAGAAGTTGCAGTGGATATAAGCTTTATCTGCGACAAGGTTTAAACATTTCCCCACGTGCCAGGCCTGACCGATCACCCGAGCGACCTTGTTGGAGTGTGCATGCTTGAGACCAATCGTAAGCGCAAGCGTACAAGCTAAAGTTGACAGGCAGAAGAGAAGGCAGATGCTTACGATGCCACCACCTCAACGGGACGTTGCACCATTAACGCACCCTCAGGTGCAGCGCGGTGCACAAAATCAGGACGTCGGAGGCCCCTCATCCTCCTCTTGTGTCAGACTCGACGTAATTCTCGAGGCTCTTAAAGTGGTCCAGGTGGTTCAGTCCAAGGGGCTCGCGGCTGCAGTGGGCAACCTGTGCGGTGTGGTCCAGGCAGCTGGGAGCAGGGGCTTCAGCTGAAGTGGCGGCCGAGGCGAGCCGACTTGTAGTCGACGCGCAGCTGCACGAAGGCGTGCAGCACGGAGCGGTCGAGCGCAGACAGCTGCTCCCCCGAGCACATCTGCTTGAGGTTGTCGGGCGCCACCACCAGCAGGTTGCACAGCGCATGCAGGCTGTTGAACAGCTGCAGCACCAGGGGAATCTGCACGTCGGGGCAAAAGGGACCGGCCGTGATATCGTCAAATATCGACCGCCGTCATCATCGTGTGCGCGCCGAGAAATGATTTGTGGCAGCTTTGGACCAAATCCTTCTCTCAGAAGCTCGGCGCAGAGAGACATTTTTGACTGTGATGACAGAGGAATAAAGAAAATTAAAACGTATTGCAGATGTTGCTCCAAATATTTGCCATGACACCACCACGCGATCGGCCATTGGGCTCAAAAGCTGAAAAGCACTAATGAATGTAAACTTTTGAGTCCCGAGGAAAAAGACCATAGACTTTTGATTCACCAAACCCTAATCAGACAAATAAACTGCACATAGGTGGAGACCAATTACTGTTCACTGTTGAGGAAGGGCAACTTCACATTGCCCCCTGCACTGTCGTCCACTCCCATCCTCTCCCCCTCCTCCATCACCCCTACATTCCCCACCGTTCCATCACGGCTGACATTGTCGAAAATTCCAGAAACCACGCTTATCCACACGAGAATATTGCAGTGGGGTAGTTTTGAGCATTTCAAAATTACGTGAGGTTCTTTCACAGATTTAACACCTCTGACGAGAGCACAAAGAGCTCACCTGGAACTCCTTGGCACACTTTTGGTACTCTGTGAGGTCGCAGATGGCCAGCATGCCGCCCGTAGAGTTGTACGTGAACTGCTGCTGGTGCTCGTAGATGAGACGGTGCAAACGCAGCCCAAACTCCGTGAGCACCGTCTCCACGTTCTTGCCATCCATCGACTGGCGGATACGCTCCACCTGGCTTCGCACATACGCACACACCTTCACGCACGCCTGGGGTGTGGGGCGGGGGCGTGTGCGTGAGAGCACGAGCGTGTTACTTGGAACAAGCACACACGTCAAACAAGCAACAGCAGAACACACAAATACGTACACAAACATACAAGCGCGTGCGTTATTATCGTTCACTCGGGCAGATTACATGATTAAATGTGTCAACGAACAACCTAATCACGATTACAAGGAAAGCATTGTATATTCAAATGTGTGAGAGAGTACTAAAAGGCGATGGATTCTAACAGTTGCGACAACTCACGTTGGTGTACTGATTCTGGAATACGCTCTCGTCCTCCGGTTTGAAGTCCGTCTTTTTTTGCTCCGTATTGAGGATCTGCTTCGTCTGGCCAAGCATGCAGTTTAGCGTCCTGTTGGTACAAAACACAGCATGCCCAAGCCACAATGCATGCTGCATCCGATTGCTAGTGACTACGGTACACATTGCAAGGATAATTTCTTCTAGTTCCATGACAGGAGAGGTAAAACATTCAATAACAATGCAATTAACTCAAAGTACAGCTATCAATTTCATGCATGTGCTTTTGGACTTGATGAAAGGTACTGGGAGTGCCTTTAAGTCACCCAAAGATACAGGGTGCTTCAAAAAAGTGTTAACACTTCTGAGAATTTGCAACAAGACCACAGGAAATGTGCTGCTTCCGGGCTCTGGAGACGACCTGGAGAAGATTCCAGGCCACGTGTTGACAATGATGGTGAACAAGTAGAGATTCTTGACTTTTTTAAAAGCTGTTAACATACATTTGTTATCATGTCGCAGTGTATTATCCGTTATTTTTCCATTACAAACGACAGTCCCATATAAGTGTTAAGCACCCTGTATTTCCTCTCAGTTGTAACAAGTCCTGGGAAGCCCACACGTGCAGCTCACCGGTCAATGCCATTGTCTAGTTTCAGCTCCATCTGCTCAATCACTTCCTTTTTCTTCTGCAGGCACTCGGTCAGCTTGGGAGAGGCACTGCAGGCAGAGGAATTGTTTCTACGTTCAAACCAAAACACCTATAATGGGCAAAAAAAAATCACTCTTTGAAAACGCTAAAAAACTAACTTACACCAGTCTGAAGTGTGACGTATTTCAAGGTCCCACATATTTCTATAAATTACACAATAAAGGCAAACAACGGTAGCCTAATTAAATATGATGTTATCATACTTTAACAGTTCTCTGCAATGCATCGTGTCAAAAAAACAAGACGTCACCACATGTTGCGCAAGAAGCAAACCGTTCCATGGCACATTAAGTACGGATGACGACAAAGACTTTCTCAGCTAAAGATATTACTGCTCGACTCAAGACACAAGTAACCAATTCTGTGCGATTGCTTCACAGCGCCACGCACTCTTGACCCACGATGCCGCGCACCGCCCAAGGTCCGGCCTGGAACCAAAAAACTCAGACCTGACGAGGGGCATGAGGTGGTCGCTGAACTGCTTGTCGAAGAGGTGGAAGACAGTATTGGCCTGCTGCACGACGTCAAGGAAGTACAGGTTGGCGTTCTTCGCATCGGGTGACGGGATTGCTGGCGGAAATACAATACTAATAATTAAATACTTCTCCGCATCGAAACACATTAGGGATATTGCATGCACAGCCCTTTGTCAATCCGCTGCTGGATGAGGAATTCCTCGTGCTGCGTTGATCATGGGGGTTATTTGACCATACTTTACTACGCTGTTCAGAGAGGGTTGAAGGGGGTGAGCGTGTAAGTACTGTACAACTGTTGCTTTTTCTGCACGGCCCACCATGTAGCCGCGTGGGCTGTAAGTGATTGGGAGTATATAAATTACATGTAATTTAAATATGTAATTTAATGACATTGGTAATCGAGATCTAAGTTACACACTCATATAAGTAATCAGTAACTTGTATGTAAACTACACAAGATGCAGCTAATTCGCAACCACATTACTCTAGGAATTTCAATGTATTTTGCCGATTTGCGCGGCTATTAAAACTGGTTGTGCGTGGTAGTTACGCATCCAAGAACTCTCCAGGCTCAACCCGGCCTAGCTTCCGAGTTTCCACACGATCGGTCATATCCTGGGTGACGTGGCTAATGGGGGCCTGGCAAATGTGAATCAAACACCAGCGCGTGTTGTCGATGCGTTGCGCAACGTTAACCGCTATTGGTTGTGCAGGGGCGCGGGTGTCACACCCGAGAGGCCGAGCTCCAGGGCGTAGTCGATGTGCTCCACGCACAGGAAGTCTACGAGGATGTAGAAAATCTTCACCGCATTCTTCGGGAGATCCGATTGGTCCGACAGCTGGGTCCAGAAACACATCACAAATGTATGTAAAAACATTAAAAACAACTGTTGTTTTGACTCCTTTTCGTGGATCAATAGCAAGCTTATCAAAACATATTTACAAGGCTGATGCTTTTTATAATTATTCTAATGAAATCATAATTTACAGCATTTTGTCCAACCATTGCTGGATTAAGGCCTCCTTACACCACGTTGGTACTGGGCGTTCGTCTTACCATAGTTTACCACACTGGTCAATGCGGGGATTTGTGAAGTGTTTTATATTCAAAAGTATCATCAACATTTGGGCCGGTTCACGTGCTTGCCAGATGCACCCAAACTCCTTTCCCTCGTGCCAAGTAAGGCAGCCAAGTAGCGGGCGGCAGAGCTGACGCGCTGGTAGCACCAGGCACTGGAGGCCTCACCTTGTGACACCTCTCGAAGGCCGTCTTGGTCTCCTGCAGCAGCGTGACCACCACCTCCTGGGAGAGGAAGGTCTCGCCGTGGGTCTCGATCACCGTGCCCAGCGGCAGGTTGGTGCGCTGTCGAATTCGCTCCTTCAGGTCCTGGATCCTTGGAGGGCATCATGCGCATTCACAGTCCTCTTGTCAATCCACTGCTGGATGAGGGCTCCCCCCCCCGCCCCAATGCAGGAAGGTCGTGGGGGTCATTTGACAATACTTTACCGCACTGGTCAGCTAAGATTTGCATTGCGCAAAACCCAGCAATTTAATCTGCATTACACAACACTCAGCATAAATGCCTCGGCAACTCAAAGTGCCTTACAATCGCATCTCATCTCGATCATTACAATGCCCTGCTGCAGTCAAGCCTGTGTGGCAGAAGGTACACCTAGCACCAGCCCAGTGATTTGGCAGCATCGGTCTGCCTCACCACTACCTCCCAAGGCAGTGACTACGTGTGAAGTGCCACAGCAGGCTGTGGGTGGGTGACCTTACCCCCCAGTGACAATAGGCCGCTTGTGGTGGCTCTTGCCGTCGTAGAATCGCTGCAGCACGGTGGCACTGCGGCTCTTCAGGTAGCTGACCTCCACCTCGATGTAGCTCTCCAGGTAGTGCTGGAACACGGCCTTGGTCAGCTTGGCCAGGTATGCGTGCGGCTCCGTGCCCAGGTCCAGCTCCGCCAGCCGGTGTGACAGGCCTGCCGTGCTGCGGCGAGCACACCAGCGCACGCACACACACAGATTCCCAGCTGTTGGGGCTGTTAAGGCGAGCGATATTTGTGGACACCCATCAAGACGACACCCAATGACAAATTTCCCGGAAAGTGCCCAATCTCCTAAAATCTCGGAAGCCTCGAAGGGTTGAGCATGGGGTTAGTGCCTGGATTGGCTGCTGCGTGACGATGTTGAGAGCAGTGCAGCAACATGCAGTGTTGTACTTTATTTTGCTCCCACTTCTATGCTACACCTCTTTACCAACCCATGGTCAATTAATCCTCATGGCCCGCATGGTGTGGGGGAGGCCGTCATCCGGTAGTCGATTGACATAGAGCCGCATATGTACATTGAGACCAACATCCTACGCGGGGCCTTATTTGGCCAGCACCATGCTCAGCTTGACTACCTTGGACTTGGTACTGCCCATGGCTACCTTGCAAGTGCTGAATTGTGCCAACATCACTGCCATCCTCAAAGCCGCTTTTTGCTCCAGTTATGATTTTGCTGGGGGTTTTCGCAACTTACCGTGAGTACAGGTCATACAGTTTGGTGAGGTACTGCTCTGCATCGGCCTTCCGGCACTCCTCGAGCCTCTCTCGCACATAAGTCTGCATGCAAAACACAACAATAATCATAATTTACATTGCTTTATCAAACTACTGCTGGATAAAGGCCTCACCGCACCCTATGTGTAACTGGGGTTGTGTAACGATACTCCATCATACTGGTCAATGTGGGTTGGTGAAGGGGAAGGTCAGGATTCGTTCAGATATCACCCAGAACTCATGTTAGCCAAGTCTGGGAATCAAACTCAAGTTGCTAGGTTTATAGCTATGCATCACTGCTCGACTCCCATGACGGACATGGCATGGGGAGGCCTCCATCCAGCAGTGGATTGAAACGTAATTACATTACTGTAAATAAATATAAGTCGTGACATATTATCAAAACAAACAATACGTCCACGTTCGTGATAAGACACATGAGAACCACCACCATTTTCAAAACGGACCCAGCAGTAACGTAAACAAAGGATGCTGAACAGGGCATAACCTCACCGTATCATCAGTTCAGTCACATACCTGTTCACGTGGAATGCTATATACATGTACAAGAATATTAAATGCCGCTTATAATTAATTTCATGCCAAAAGTAATTAAGCTCAAGCACTCAAGGGCTACCCAGGCCCGGCTTTTACCAACAACCGATGAAGAGACACGTAATGGAGTTTTTTTTTGGGTTAGATTGCGTAAATAAAAATGTTCCGTGCAACACACCACCACTCGACACAGCCAATTAGTAAGGTTTATAAACCCACAACTTGTAAATATTGTGGGTTTACTCTCCAACACAGCGGTGTGCTGAACTAGTAACTAATTGCATATTTTGTGTATGTGACAAGCCTTACTCATTGGCTGTGTCAGCGATCACCCAAAAAAATCCCCCTCCTTTATGAATAATATTGCTCACGAAAAGCCTACGCGTTAAACTAAAGGGACGCGTGTAACAGCAGCGACGGGGCGGGGGGGGTTCGTCGTCACCTGCAGCTTCAGCTCGTAGATGTTCTGCACGAGGCGGGCCATGACGCTCTCGGGCGAGGAGAACACCTCGCCCACCTGCTTGTTGACCCGCTGGCACAGCTGGGCGGCGTCTTCAAAGACGTCCGCACGCAGGTATGCGCTCTGCAGCCCCAGAGCAGCCACTTAATTAATCAGTGAATGTAGAAACCAGCTGAGTTTTCTGGAAATTCATCAGGGAAATTAACATCTACCAACAGAGATTGGACAAATATGAAAAAGAAAGTGCTGCTTCCTCTGAAAGAAGTTGCAAATATCTCGGCCAAAGTTGCCTAAGTGAGAAGGGTTTTACATGAAGTACAATAAAAGGGCCAATACAACAATAATCCACGACAATTTTAATGTTATACCATTAAAAGCACAACATTATTTATGGCTATGTAAACCGGCACAGTATACCGATTCACTTTGCAAAGAAGGCCAAGGCAGAAACATGATGGAAATCATTATGAATAAAGACCATCCACTTGAATACAAAACCATGTGTAGCAGGCTATAAAATTATTCCAGTGGAGAGTTTGAGCATGGGCTGTACAGCAATGTTTAAATTTGAAGCTCAAGACCCACTACCAAACCAAGACCAATGTCTAATAAAATTTCCTTGATATTACACATTACAATTCACATTCTTTTTTTTATTGAAATGATAAGTTTTGTAATTGTCACGTTCAAATCCCTTACCTCCTGGCATTGCTTGATGTAGACGTCCACACAATGAGAGTACCCCTAGAACGATAACATTATGTTAGCAACACCCTCGACTCGTGTGACCTGTGGAATTGAAAACAGCAGGTGGTGAGTGGGATGGCATAAACTACGACCGGGCCTCTGTCTGACCTTGAAATGCAGCAGCACGGAAGCAACCTCGCGCATACGCCCGATGTCTGAGTTGCGCTGAGCCGTCGTGAACTCCTGGATCAGCTGACACTCCATGTCGTGGTACTTGCCTGCGTGCACACGGGCGCGCACGCATGAGCACACGCACAATCTCCAATACATTGAGCGAGAGAAGCGGCGCACAGCTCACTCACGCCATCGCGTCGCAGCGCATACGTGGTTTGAACGTGCTGCCGATGTACAAAAGGGGGGGATGGAAATGTATCCAGAATGCATGATAAGGGCAGAATCTCTTGACATTGCACGAAGGAATACATTAGTCGTGGGGACACTTGTACGGGAACATGTTACAGTTTGTCAACATGGATTAATGGGATCTAGATAATGGGTTGATATACATTGGAAAATGTGGAAACAGGAACGTAATAATGTTTCTTCAAAATCAAAAACATTCTTGAAACACGAACCTATTGGCTCTATAAACAAAAGCATTATCCATTCGTAGACCATATCCTGAGGCTAATTGAGAATCCACTCATTAAAAAAAACATTTCCAGATTCACTTACTTGCAATCCGTGATTTTACAGCCGAAAACCTGTTGAGGAAAATAAAGTAACATGAGTGTGGGGCATCTGTAAAATAATAACTAAATATAATGGAGTGAACGCAAGGTCACTTCTACTGACCATGAGCTGTTTACAGCAAGATACTCAAAGCAAAGCGGCGGGCAAGGCAGGCATACGTTACCTGTCAAAGGGTAGCTCCTGAGCAATCAGATGAAGCTTCTGAATGATGTCAGCAGCTTCTTGAATCTGATATACAAAAGTACCCATCAAGCAGGTCAAAGGTCATACCAAAACACAGCTTTGCACGCTTACAATAGCAGCTTAACACTCAGTCCTCAGCCACCTCCATGGGCCAAGTCTGATGTAGGGTAGGTAAAACAATTCCCACAGAATAATAATCCAGGGTCGCTTGGTTTTGAGTACCAGCTCTGCCGAGTCAACACCACCCTTGTCCTCACCTTGCTGGGATCGGTGAAGACTTCAGACGTAAGGTTTCCCTCCAGGAACTCATTGAAGTAGCGCATGAGCTTCTGCGCCTCGACAGCGCGCTGCCGGGGCGTGTTAACGCCCTCCAGCTGGTCGCCCAGGTGGCACACCTTGGTGGCCACATAACTGATGTGCTCGTCCAGCTCCTGGAAGTGCTGAAATGCGACCTGGGGAGAGTGGTGGGGATAGCAGGAGGGCATATGCTCATCAATCATGGGCTAGCGTTAATGTTACAAAAAAAATTGTGAAAGTTAGAATTGCGATTGAGAATTAATTTTATGATTATGGGCAAGGTTAAGGTTATTGGAAAAGCCATATTAATACAAGGGCTTATGACTGTTCGTGGGTTAAAATGTGTGTCAATGTCAGGTTTGGTGGCATTATCAAGTGTATATTAATATCAAGCTTGGTGTTAGTGTGCTCTCCAATCTGGCAGCCAAGGTCAACAGTCGAACACTCAGTCAACCCCTACTCAATGGGAAGTCGCTTTTTCTTTGCAGCTGCCCCAGTCTGGAATTAGATCCCTCCAGTAATTTGCATTCATTCCCTCACCCTGTTCAAGTCCATGCACAAAACCTTTCAATCAAAACATCATCAATGATGTCTTAACAAACCAACATCTCACAACTCTGTCCTGTCATCTACAATCCCACAACTCTATCCACAGCAAAAAAAAAAATTCTGCTGCTGGTCACTCGAAAGTACATGAGCAGTTGTGTCTTGAGATGCAGCTGCATTTTAGATACTTTCGTTTACATGAAGAGGAGATTGATACCGATTGTTGTTCTTGGGCTCAGAAGCTCACCTGGTTTCCCTTCTGCAGCTCCTGCACCTTGCGCGCGTATTCTTTCGCCTCCTTCTGGCATGAGGCCTCCAGCTTCTCGACGCGCCGCTGAATTCGCTCGTCCAGGATCTTGAGCTCCTGGATGTGGCCCACAAACTCCTCCAGAAGCCTGCGCGCCCCACAACGTGTCAAAACGGGATAATTCCATCGTCGCACTCGGTGCGGTACTATTATGCTAGCTGTGCTGGTTGCTTCCAATTAATTTCCAACTGCAGACATTGAATTCACTTATCACACCTGTAATGAGTGGTCATGAGGTTTTTTAATATTAAGACATTAAACGTGTTTTGTTTAGTCATACGATAAGTGCAACAATGTTGGGAGCGAATGTATTGAAAAAGTGTGGTCTGTGTTCCAGTGATAGGCTGCCGTAACAGTAAACCAGCTTGCAAGGCTTTAGATTGTACAGTTAGTTTACTAGCTTTTCTCAAGCTGAACCGTGCAATGTTAGATGATAATGAGCATTTGTGTCAGTCCATCTGGTGTATCTGTTATTTTAAATGTAGCATTCAGTAAAGTCCGTACACACGCCGAGATTGCAAAAGAGCAATGAATCGGCAACGTTTCATATCGATGACCTTCGTTAGATTTAAGGTCAGATGATTGGGCTCTGTGGCTTTGTGCTTGGGCATGAGTCTGTGAAAATCAATGTACTTGGGTTATTCTAAGGCGAAGTGAAAAGGGATTATTTCAACATCAATGCTTTCTGGGTCAGCATTGTAATGATAAACTGAACTGATTGACAAAACTGGCCTGAGGCATCTGGTAGTTGAAAGGCTAAGAAATTCTGTCAATAATTTCAATAAAAATACACTCTACTAACAAGCCCTGTTTTAGCCATTGCTAGCCATTGCTAAATACAGGCGAATTTTACTTCAGTGACAAACTTTGGCCAGTCTAATGTAAACACATCTGCCTGTGATCAATCACATGTTTAGGTTTCAGAAATAATGTACTAGGCTATGAACAATCTATATACATTGTCCATATCCACATTCAGGCATGTGAGGTTACTATGTCAAAGTATTTTCAGGCACTTAAGCCATAAATTATAAGAAAGCTGAGAAGTTAATTCAGATGCATGATGTAAAAGTAGTTTCCAGTTTCAAGTTTTATTTATTTATTTTGTCAAGAGACCAGGATAGTCTCATTTCCAAGCATGACTTAGGTAACCAAACATGACAAAAGCACAAAATACAAGATTGTGGAGACGTTTGAGTAATGTACCTGTCATTCCATTTTTGGTACATCACAACTGTAAAAAAAATTGATTACTATGATAAATGTCTTTCACCTTAGAGCAAATCATTCAATACCCATTGAGGAATTTGCATGTTGGGGTCAGGGTGTAGATTCAAAGTAACAGGCGCATGGGTTGACCTCCAACTAGACAGAGACCTTTAAAATCGACTATTGGCCATCAAATAGATCCATACTGATCAATTCCACACATGCAGTGCAGTTGTGAGAATGCTTTTGAACAGACACAATCAGTGGAATGAGTGATGAATAACTAATGACGATGTCAGTTATTTGTTTAATGTGCCACGTCCTACGGAAGTGTTCGTGAACTTCATCTTGTGAGTAAGGAAAGCCCATCAGTAATGCGCAAATATCACCATTGAAATACCTGAATGAGCTTTGGATAGCATGTGGGATCTGTCAGGAAACCTGGCTGCCAAAGTTAATTCCCAGGGCTCTTAATGAGCCGACAACAGCAAGTAATCCCACATGACTCCCAGTCACAAGTGGTGAAATTACACTACCATTGTTCTATTACAGCGATTTGCAACAACCAGTGTTCTACCTTAGAATATTTTTTTAAAATAATGCTGGCAAATTCTTGCCTCTGGCAATGAGATGGGTCCATCTGTCGAGTTCCAGCTAAGATTACATTTCCTTGGCTGTGAGCAGGTAACCAACTGTCGAAGGTACAACGAGTATTAAAACGATGCGGTCGCCCAGTCTTACCGCCTCGGGTCGAATCCATCCACGCCCCCTTTGGTGCCGCCCCCAGGAGTCCTCCAAGCCAGCCGCTCGATGTACTCGTCCACGTCAAATGGTTCCTGTACGACAATTAGCAGTTGCAGTCAAGATAGCTTATAGCAGCACTTGCCAAATCTCGATACCCGTGGCTCAACAAGAATGGGCCAGCCAATCATTTTAAATTGTAAGGGTGGAGCGATACATCAATTCACATCTGTCCTATGCTCGTGACACATCTATCAAATTGTGTGTAAGAATCAATGTTTTTCAATTCAGATGTGGTAAAGGGCGACTGTATTACAAACCCTGCCGCCACGAGAGATGCTGCCATTTTTCAAAAAAGTTATTTAAAAAGGAAACATTCTTGGATCCAATTGCAATCCTCGATTGAGGCACTTACGACTTTGAATAATTTACAATTTCATTAAATTCTGGGGGGGGTAAATCATTCTACCCATGACAAACTGTAATGCACGTACAGCCCACGTGCAAGTTTATACATGAACAAATAACTCGGTTCACTACAGATTACATGGGTGTGTTTGTTAGCAGACACAAAAACCTAAGACCGATGGGGGTTAAAACTCAAGATGACGAGACAGTTGGCACGAACTGGTTGTGCCCAAGACGTTAATTTGCTAAGTGTAATCCTTTATAATAAAACAAATAAAAACAACGTCATTATGGCAGTGTTAGGATGTGCTTGTAATTGATGGAAGAAGCCGTTTGGCTGGTTGCTCACGACTGTATCCCACACTGGTTAAGATTGTTTTGCTGATGGTCACTCGGATGAGGATCCGCTGGCCAGGATACTGACTCACGATTGGGAACTCCGTTGCTCTACCAAATGACTCTGAGAACAACATGTATCGTCCATACCGGCACCAGGGGACCTTGCCTTTACATGACAAGAGTCACGTGTTCAGTCAACTGTTTTGGAACAGGAGCAAGCCAGTAAACCCGATCACTTTTGTAGGCAAAAGGTTTGAAGGATCACGTAGATGTATGTGAAACTCTCAAATCCGTTGCACTGTGAGGTTGGAAAGAGATGGTAGTCTAGGAAATGTTTGTGAACGAGTCGGCGTAATTAGTGTTGACACGAACAGGTCCTTCGATTGTGTGGGTTTTTCTCAGAGAAGTGCAGTTTCCTCCCATACGGGGGAAAAAAACCCTGACTTTTTGTCAGTGATTAAACACCTCCCCACGCCATGCGGCTCGTGGGGCTGGCTTCACCATACTTTACCAAGTTTGTCTGTGCGGGTTTGTGTAGGGTTTCACGGCCAGTTCAGATAATCACCACAACCTTAGGCTGTTGGTATGTACCAGGGGGGAAAGTGTTTACAGGACACGCCCTTGACTTAACACCGGGTGAAATGTTACGTCAAACAAAATGTCAAAGGTGCTTGTCGGCTCTTGTGTAAACGGTTTGAAGCGTGGTCAGTGTCCTTTTAAAATCGCTACCAGACAGAACTACGTCGTAGCGCTCCCGTAGAGGTTACTACATTTTTTGCGTTTAAAATTGTGTTGTCCTTCCCCGCACCTTCAATGAGTACGGTTGCCTACGTACGGTGCGAAAGAAGTTCAACATACAGTGCATGCATTAAAAGGTGCCGGAGTAGCTGTATCTTAAAATAATGTATTTCTCAACAGCAAAGCATCTATAAACTCGTCCGCGACTCCCATCCTGAGCGTGCATCTACAACATAAGATCTAAATGTGGCTTTTGTGGATAATACAGTACCGTACATTACGACTATCTTGACAATGAGAGGCTCTTTCGGATACAAACATTTACTTTAAACCGTGATAAAATTGCACAATCCGTACACGCCTGTCACTTTAGCCGAAATTATCTCGCGCAGTCGTTAAACGACTCGTGAATAATGTTTTAAAGTTTCCTTTAAATCGCGGTGTAGGGGGGCCGCCTCGCCCACCCACCGCCTGCGGGGAGCCCGCCCACCTTTCCCGGCCGACGGCCCAGGCAAGGGGGTAGGCTTCGGGCCTACTCACCTCGAACAGGTCCGGCGTCGCCATCCTCACTCGCAAACACAGATGCTGATCACCGCAGCGCGTCCTTAGCGAACCTCGCGGGCAGACACCGCGCCGGAGTGGCGCATTATCCTCATTAAACTCACGCTTTCGTCAACAATTACAAAGCTTGTTTGTGTCACCCCTACAGGAATCAAACCGGAGGTACAGTAGGGGGGAATCGATTCAGCTTATCGGCGCTCTTTGGAATCGATTACTTTTTTAAATTGTTTTCTATTTACGTGATTTTACCGAAAAATTTATTGTTTTATTTATATTATTTCCCTTCTACGTGACTTTACCGAAAGAACCAAGAATATGAATCCCTGCAGTCACGAAAGCTTTAAATCGAAATGTTACCGAAAGAACCAAGACAATGCTCAACACGTGCCGGCGGTGCCATGTTCCTGGCAGTGCTTGTCAATCCACTGCTGGATGAGGGCTTCAATCTTAATTAGGAGCTTTCACGACTGCAGGAATTACTCTTCGGTTCTTTCGGTAAACGCACGTATAAAGATAAAATAATAAATAATAGCATACGACGTTTCGATTGCAACACAAGAAATCATCATCAGGTATAAATGAAATAGCAACAAATATCTAACAGACATATAAGCAGACTTGGTGATATCTGTCTGCTTATATGTCTGTCTATAGTTTTTTGGTTAGATTTTTGTTGCTATTTCATTTATACCTGATGATGATTTCTTGTTGCAATCGAAACGTCGTATGCTATTATTTAATCTTTATACGTGACTTTACCGAAAGAACCAAAGAGTAGGAGGGTTTCTCTACGCCCACACAGCGTTGACCATATCTTCGGCACGCTGACCAGCACCGATTGCTGAACGCGGGGAGCATTGAAGAGCGTAGATGCTGCTGCACTGCCCTCTGTTGACCACCACGTGGCCTCGCAGCATCAGCCTTTAGCACCCCTTATTATGAACGGTGATCGCCCATGCAACAATATCCAGGGTGAACCTTGCTTCGCTTACGAATCGAACGAGATTGGGTGACTTTGGTTCGAGGCAACAATTCAGATTATCGACCTGTACGCGATGGATCTGGATAACCTGTCCATATTTTAGGAAGCCATTGGAGCTATGCACTTTCGAATATAAATTGAAACTTCATTTCCTTTCAACAGTTTTTTGTGTTTAGTTTGTCCTTGCCCGTCACCTCCGATGAGCAAGGTTGGCTACGTACGGTGTGAAAGAAGTTCAACATGCAACAGAAGCAGGGTTCCACGGCATAGTCCTATGCAGTTTCGAAGAAAAAAACATGTCTGGTTTTACAAATGGAGGGGTTGGGATTTAAAATATATTTTATTAACACGCATACACAAGCCATGGACAAGTCAGTTAAAAAAGTTAAGTTAATCGCGTAGAATGTTTTCCTTTCAGGATCGCAAACATTTGTAACCGTCATGAGCCTTGTAAATATGCTTAAACAGAAATGTTTCCAACTTACAACACTAAACACACATTTCCTGAACGATTATTTAATAAGTGCAATCTCTTAAAATATTCGCAAAAAAATAAAATATTACTTAAATTTATGTAAAAATTAACATGCGAGATTTAATCGGCTTTGCTGATAATCAAGTTTTCAACTCAACATTTAAACACAAACAACACAGATTTTTTTTTACATAGCAACAATTTCATTTCTATATTACGAGGAAATGTCAGGTTAATAACTTATACTTTGGCATAACCTTAAGCTTTATTTTGAACAAAAGCAAGTTTAAATGTACAGATACTTTCAAGTATAATATCTTGTCACGAGTCACTAGTATTGAACAGAACACAGCCATACAGCGCACACTTTGTGCTTACCCCAGTATAAAAATGAAGACAGGTAATTATTAGTAAGGTCCACAAAGCTCATTCACACAAGTACCAGGAGTCTGCAGTTTTACCCGCGTGATTATGTGGATGATGAAAGATCAACAGTCAAGTGACGTGGAATTTGTGAGGTGATACATTTTTCTCCGTTGTTATATGGTGAACTTGACTCGAGGTGGATTCCTGTAAAACATTAACCCAACAAAGGGTCTCCAATGTGGCAAATTTTTTAAAACTGCTCTTTTTAAAACCAGACATCTTGGCATTGTAAAAACATTTATGTAGCCCTAACACCAACTCGCAAGGGCCATGCCTCAGTGGCAAGGCACGGATTGTTGAGCTCACAGATTCCCGCTTGGCTAGCCTAAAGGCCGCAAGACAGAGACCACGGCTCTCTCCGCCAAGAACCCCACCAGCACCGTACTGCAGGCCAGGCTCCACGTGCAGTCCAGCACCACTGTCCCAAACACAACAAATACACATTTACAATCCATTAATACCATCTTAACTTCGTTAAACAGAAGTCACTGAGATGCCCTCGCAAAGATACAATGGTTATACAGTCCTCTCAAAGTACAATGTTTCGGTATCAGTAAAAATGTGCAGCCCTGCAATTGCTGATGCCACTGGTGGTGGGAGGGCTTCTATTGGAGGGTATTTTGACCTACTCTTTCACGCGAACCAGGTATCTTGAAAAAGGTCAGAATTTAGATGGGGGAATTTGTTTTGCATTTCACAATTTGGGATTGACATACTGTAATCAGATGAAGCCATCCACTTGTAATACCACTAGGTCTTTAACACCATGTTGTCATGTTACACACTTGCAGTACCTCTCTGTAAAAACGAGACAACCTCTACTCTGCCTAGTTAAATGCTACGCACCGTGCAAGGCCTGCGCGTTGGAGGCGAGCGCGAAGAGGCGAATGAGCGGCAGGCAGAACGGCGCATGCTCATGCTCCCAGATGATGGCCGGCACCAACATCAGTTCGCCGTAGTTTGAGAGCAGCAGGGCACGCAGCAGGGTGGCGTGGTCGCATAGCACCTTCCACAGCAGCAGCACACACCACATCGCACCCAGGAAGCTGAGCAGCTCTAGGGTATCGCACCCACACGACAACAGCAATCATTACTTGCTGATGATATCAACCAGTTTAGTTACACTTTGAAAACAGAACCATACACATGTACAGGTATACAAGGATTGGAAAGGATACAATATTATTTTCTAATAAATTACAACTTGCAATCAACGTTGTTATTTCTATACTCTTTGGTTCTTTCGGTAAAGTCACGTAGGTATAAAATAAAATAAATTACAATGTTTCGGGTGCAACACAAGCGTCCGTGACTTTACCGAAAGAATCAAAGAGTATGTATTCCTGCAGTCACGAAAGCTTCAAATCAAGGTTGTTATTTCTATTCAATCTGCTTCTGTGAGTCATGCTCTATACTGGGGTGAGGCACCACTCTGCGAGCAAACAGTTTTACAACACGAATCTGATGGAACAATTGGAAGATAACTGCCGAAAATATTTTTTAAAAACACTAAACAGACTTGCCATCAAATACAATTGTCATTGTGCACATTTGAATTGCAATCACAATATAATTGTAATTTCAGCGAATAATGTTTTTTTTCTTCCCATTTTAAACTTTAGTAGAACCCAGGACCGACACCAAGGGTATTGTGGCCGCCCTCACCGAGCGTCGAGGCAGCACACAGGCAGTAGAAGTCCCACTCCATGGCGGAGCGCACGATGGCAGCGGGCCCCCCAGGGGGGGCCTCGCCCACAGCTAGTGGCTGCTTGAGCTGCGTCCAGTACGTGTAGGCCTTGCACAACAGGCAGAACACCGACACCTTCCAGTGGACCTGGAACACAATGGTCACCCAATTCCTTGTCCTGCATGCACAGCGAGGTACAGGACACTTGCACACACAAAGACAAAATCCCACCGTGCAGCCCCCGCGTGTATGTGCGTATGTTGAACTTCTTACGCACAGCACGTAGGCAACAGACCGCTGAGAGCGAAGTGCTGTTTTGCGAGCACTTCTTAAAGCTGGCATGGTGCACGAGCGTTGCACTCGGCAACATTTTCACTTAACTCTCAGATGTTTAACTGAAATAACCCAGCAATATCAATATCATTGCTTCTTTATGAAACCAGTGTTTTGGCCATATACACAAATGCAGCACACAGATTAGAATAGTTATGCCCACAGACCGCACGCAGTGCCCGCTGTTGCATTCTACACTTACGTCGATGCGCGTGTTGAAAATGACGTGCCGGTAGGCAGGAGCCTTGCACAGGAGCGTGTCGATGAAGATGATCACTGGGTCATACTCGATGTATTTGTCCACGGGGTTGCGACATCTCTCCTGCAGGACACAAACGGCACAAACCACCTTATGAGGAATTATTTGTTCCATGTTAATGGCAAAAAAATGTCACGCGTCGTTCAAAACTGTTAATGTCAGCTTTATTCTCGGGTTTGAAGGCGCCAAAGTGTTGAGTGTGATCTCCACCAGCACTGCCAACTTCCCTGCTCTCTCTCTCTGTGGATAAAAGGATAATCCCTGGTCATTATCCAAAAGGTAACGTTCAGTTAAAATGCAGGATTAATGCCGGAGTGTGCCGTGGAGCCGTGGCGCAGTAGTTCGCTGTAATGAACAAGGCGACCCGAGTTCAGATTCCCCGGCCATGCAGTGGCTTCTGCACCGTTCTTGACCCCTGACCCGCTCCCCGTGATCAACCCGCACTGACAAACCAGGGTGACGGATCGTCAAGCAACCTCCGGTAGCCACACAAGACGCCTTAACCTCGACTCAAGAGAGGTAGATGAACGACACGACAGTATAGATTGTGAACGCGAATGGAGGTTGTTTGACCATACTTCACCAATGATGGCGAGTGTGTTTTGCAGGGGGGGGGGGGGGGGGGCTATGACACGAGCTACAGTCCACGTGGCAGTGAGCTCAGCCAGCTGGACCCACGGTTATTGGTGTCGTCAAGTTACACCCCCGTGTCGGTGCCTGGCTTGCCCATCATCCATTCAGGGGCGAGGCGGGGGATAAATCGAATACCATTCCGCGGGAACTCATTCAACAGCAGCCGCCCCATTGACGGCCCCGCTTCCTCCCTTCGTGGCAAGAAAGAACTGCCACTACTGCCCCAAGCAGGGGTCGCCAACCGAGACGACCCAAGGCAAAGCATCCCTGGGAAGGGGTCATGCTCGATCCACTGCTGGACGGTGGTGGTGTGGAGGGAAGTGGTCAGTCGCCCCACTCGCAACTCACGCAGATCGCCAGTTTGATCACGCCGTGCTTGTAGTCGCGGTACAGATCCCTGGCCTCGAAGCCGCACTCCACGCAACGATAGCCGCCGACCATTGCCGCGTGTCTGTTGTAAATAGGTTGTTAAACGTCGAGGAGACGTTTATAGATTTTTTTAAAAAGACCTCCACAAAGACGCGGCCGCTCCTTGGACGACGGCGGTGAGGGCGGCGGAGCGCGGAACTGGCGGTGACGGCGTCGCGGGGCCCCGCCCCCTTCCATTGCGGCCCGCCCCCCACCTCCCATTGCGGCCCCTGATTGGCTCGCGGGTCACCAAGCTCGCGCCTGATTGGTTTGTCTGGGGCGCGCCTGCTTCACTCACCCAATCAGAATCTGTCGACTGCAGCAGCAGCAGCACGCAGGAGAAGAAATCCGAAGAGCTATGAAGCTCTTTGTGTTTTTGTTTTACTACAGATGTCCAGTACGGGCACGGGGTCAGAAAGTTACAACGGCAAACAATGCAAAAAAAACGATAGGAGTGCCAAAATGTAGGAAATTATAACCGAGTCACTCAATATAAAAAAATAAAAAAATTCTGTCCGGTTTATCAAGGGTTGGCAAGGCAGCAAAATCAACAAAACAGTCCCAGACCCACACCAAGATAACACACAGCAGTAGTCCCTCAATAGAATAGCACATTAACATTGAACTGTGTATACACGGGTCATGATTAACCCACTGATGCTACGACGAAGGGGGCATCGCCCGAAACGTCGCCTACTTTGAACGTCTTTTCTTTCAAGATGCCGTTGAGGAATGTGTGGAGTGTTTTTGTTCTTAACCGTGCACCTCTACCAACTCAGCATCAGCAGCATCGCCAAATTATGTCTAATGGTGCTGGGTACAGTTTCTAACAAAGCAGCGTTCTTGAGTTTAAACATCGTGCCCAGAGCTCAGTGGAAGGAGGGCCATCGTCACAGACGTCGTTCAGAAAGGACAAGGCGCGTGAGAGGATGATGGAGAGAATGGCGATGGGGGAGAGATTGGCCCCCTCCACTCTCTAGACTACCCCTGTCACCTACCGCACCCTAAACACTAAATATACATACAGTATCAGCGTCGTTGTGGAGAATATCTGTAGAATTATACATATCTTCATACACTGTATATACATACATTGTTTTGCCTTTGTCCCACTTCCCGTCAACCTCACTGCGTTCAGAAGATGCATCATTGGTTCTTAACAAAACTGGACCGGTTTCGACATTGTCTCGTATGTGTGTTGACCTTTTCTCGCATCGTACGTAGCCAACTGTGCAAATCGTCGGTGTGAGGGAAGGACAACAAACTAAAACACAAAACGCAGTTTAAAACTAATTAGTTTTAAATCTAGATTACTTGAAAATGCATAGCTCCAGTGGCTTCCTAATATCGGAAGAGCGTTCCAGACGGCCGCAGAGGCGCATCTAAAAGCGAGCGATGCGCATTATGCACTCACAGAAGGCCTTGTGGTTGACGGGATGTGTAAAAAAAACACGATTGTCCCAACACGACGTGTATTCAAATAAAAAGCTGGGAAACGAATATGAAACTGGGATTCGATTAATAAGCAATCTTCAGTGTTGTGCACAATGTGCTTTATAACGTTGCAAGGGAAGACCAATGATTGCTCCTGTGATACATCACATTCCTCGACAGCTAAATCTAACACAACGCTTGCCACAATTTAATTTCAACATCGTTCAGAAACGGATTACTGTATCTATATTTGCGTCGCTTTTAGTGTTAACTCTTCTTGGCTTACTCCGGTTTCACGTCACACGCCAAACCACTCCGTCTCGGAATTGGTCACACATCCTAATGCAGAACTTCTGAAAGAGTAATGAGACTCAGTGAGCATATCCTGGGTAAAGAATACTATAATTGTAAATAAACGCATAGTTGTTATGAATGAGTTCCTCTACCCACCCTCCAATCATCACCACCAACCCATAGCTGTCAACCCATACGGTTTATCCATCTTCTTGTACAGGGAAATTGAGTTTTCAGGTTAATATGGCGTACAGCCGTTTCAATACGGGCAGAAAAATACGTCCAAATAAAATGTAGGTGTATTGTTTAACCCTGTATAACCTTGCTTATTGCTGGACATGAGTGTGTGCATCATCAACATATCAAGCAAGCGGCATCAGCATGCAAGATCACAGACAGTAAATTATGACATCATTTACACCAATTTTCTGAATTAATACATACACGTTTTTGTTTAGTAACATTTTTGTCTATTTGTTTGTGTTTCTCCCTTGTGATGGGACTTTGTGGGATGCACGTTGACATTTACAAAGGGCACGGGGCGACCAATAAGGTCTGAATTGGTCTGTAATAAGTGAGGCAGCACTGATAAGGCTTGGACAATTGAGCCAACCACCACGAACCGAACACAAACTCAAGCACGTGGCGAGCGGCTTTCCCGCGCGAACTCGCACGTGTTTCCGGTACCGCGCTTCCTGCTTCCGGCCGCCCGTCACTCCCCGCGGCAGCGTTGGGGGCGGTGATCACCACCATCATCATCATCATGGCGGTGTTGGTGTTGTCAGCTCCTACACCTCCTCCTCCCTCTCCCCTCCCGTCTCCTTGTCTCTCTCGCATGCCGCTGCTGATTTCGCTGCTTCTCATCCTCGCCGCCTCGTCGTCGTCCACGCGCGGCGCCGAGTTCTTTCAGAGCCTGCCGCTGTTTGGGGGCGAACAGGAACCTGGGCAGGTGTGTCAGCAACATCAGCCTCAGCAGCAGCATCAGCAGCAGCATCATCAGCAGCCGCCGCCGGGCCAGGCGGAGCCCGGCACAGCGTCTCCCGAGCGAGGCGCCGAGTGCGCGGAGCGATGGAGCCGCCTTCCGCAACTCTGCGCCGACGCGGTGCCCGGTGCGATTCGCGCACCCAAATCGCACCTCACTCAATCCGTTCATTCATTCGATCACTCACTCGCCCTCGGTGGGTTAAAGGGCTCAGGCAGTCGGTCGGTCGGTGAGCGAGTGATGTACTCGTAACGTCAGGCAGTGGGGTGACTGGCTACGTCGGTGATTCATTCATTTAGTTACTCGTTAGGTGACTGATTATTCTGTAAGTCACTCAATGCGAGTGATTCATTCACTCATTCGGTTAAGTCAGTGGGTGACTTCGCTAAGGCAGTGAGTGAGTGACGCATTCGCTCATTAAGTTAACCAGTGGGTGACTTGGTGAGATTGGTGAGTGCTTCATTAATTCCGTTGCTTGGTTAATTTGTGGCTGGCTTATTATCCCAGTAAGCCAGTGAGTGGGTTAGTCATTGACTCAACAACTCACCTGTGGCTCCAATCATTCAAGTTGTAGCTGTCATTGGTGATGAATGGCAAGCGCAATATAATCGATAATAGAGGGTTTTGGGTTAGATCGTGTAAATATATAAATGTGTCGTTAAACCCACCACCACCCGACACGGCCAACTAGTAAGGGTTCATCTTCGTGGCCAGTTCGTCACTAGTACAGCACTAGTGTGTAGTGTATAGTGTAGAGTAATGTAGTGTATAGTGTAGTGTACTAGTACAGCACTAACCGGTGTGTTGGAGAGCCAAGCCACAACATTTACAATCTTGAGTACGACGTTTCGCCAGTTATTGCAACTCTCTGTGTTGGGTGGTGGCGGGTTTAACGACACATTTATATATTTACGCGATCTAACCGAAAACACCTCTTATGGATAATATTGGTCGCGAAAGCCTGCTACGTGTTAAACGCAATAAAATTGTTATTTCAGCTCGCAATGCTGCTGTTATTGTAATTATAATTGACTGGAGTTATTAGTTCACTCAAAAAGGGCATTACTGACTCCTTAACTCACTTTCTATCTCATTCACCCACCCATTCACTCACTCGCCATTCTATACACACAGTATTGTATGCAACAACAAAAAAGTTGACGAAAATGTGCGCACATTTTGTAACGTTTTACCTTGTAAAATAAATATCAACAATGGTTGATGCCCGAGGCACAAAACTTGGCATGGGAATGTGGAATTTCCGAGATTGGCTCATCTTTGCCCCATTGTTCTTTGTGCGTCTTTGCAACTAAATTTCAAAATATAAGAATGTGTGTTACCCTTTCTGGCAATAAAACAGGTGTTAAGATGTTCAAACACCAAACAGAAACCTTTTGCAAGGAATCTGTGTCTGCATTAACCACACCGAGTACTTGCGGTGAACTAAATATCACTTGGTAAATCCTGGACTGGTTCCCGACTTAGAAATGTGGAATTGCAACAATCTGGCAGAGTTTACACACCGTGTGTAAGCTATCAACAGCATCTACGGTCAATTCATTCTTTAGAAGACTGGAAAACCACGTGAATTTTGAGGAGTTTGTGTATTTTCGCGTGTAGCCACAGCTGCACTGAAAACTTTCCAAAACCTCACGAGCATGACAATTCTGCTGACCTGTTTACAGTTATGATTTGCAATGTAGCGTTTGTTTTAAAAAAAATACAATTTGATTTACCGATCTTTGGTTGCAATAGCTGCCACCGTCTTTTTAATTGTGCGCATTCAGTTATTAAGTCACCCTAAATCCGGTGTGTAACTGTGGGTATTGTATATGGTAAATATGAAAACGTGTAAGGTTACTGGGAATATGACCGCGCTCATACCTGTCAACCCCTTATCAGTGCCTACCTTATTACAGACCAATTAGGACCTTATTGGTCACCTCGTGCCCTTATAAATGTCAACGTACATCCTACAAAGTCCCATCACAAGGGAGAAACACAAACAAATAGACAGCATTTGTTTTTTGCCCGTATTGAAACGGCTGGATGCCGTATGGACCTGAAAACTCAATTTCCCTGTACAGGAATACGGGTTAACCATATATGGGTTGACAGGTATACCACTCGAGACGACGAGTACGGACATATCAGCCTTTAATAAAAACTAGCGAGACCTTTTGACTACAGCAAGGGGAGACTGCAATCATTGCCAACACGACGAACCAAAAGAATTCCACCAGATATGCATTTGCAATGATTGATCTCGTCGTTCTAGTCGCCGTGTATCACGTGTTAAATAAAAGGCTGCCGTGCCCAGAGTTGTCTTCGTCAATGAATGGGTGTTTTCAGTAGTTCTGTGTGAGGCAGAGGTCAATGCGGCAAACGTGGACATGTGGGGAAACGCACCAAGAAGTTCACAATTGCAGCTTAATACATCAAAATTACTGCGCGCGAAAGAGTTGTTGGCCTGCCCTGCCATTTATCATTGCGACTGTCAGCATGTGCAGTTTTACTTGAGGTGGACAGCTTTTGAAAATCCGTATCTTTGTTTAATTTTTCGCATCTTTTTACAGTTTCTTTAAGGCACGATTTTCCCGTCGCTTGTGATTCAGTGGTGTCGTGTGAACAGTCATCCATCAACAACGAAAACTTTCTGGTAACGTCAAACTTTGGTTACTAATTTTACAATTCTTTCCCTTCCCCCCCCACCTATAAATATACGGTGACTTTTTTTATTCATTGCGCGTGAACAGATGAGCCGATGCGTGCCGCCCCTTTAGCTACGATGATGTCCCCTTATCTGTGCCGTGCAGAGCCAGGCCGTGGTTTTGGCGGAGCAGAGGAAGTTTCCTTTTCCCAGCGGAGTGCTCGACACCGACCGCCAGCTCGGTGTGTATCGTGTGCGACAGAGAATTGGGGAAGTCCGCTTATCTTGTTTATTGCAGGCATCGCCGCACGATCACCGCTGCGTTTTTAAAGTGGTGTTTATGTTTTGGCCGTGTGCTCGTACAATCGTTGTTTTCATGTTGTTGATAGTTTTTAAATTTAGCTTTACTTATAAAGGACTTGCGTAGTTATGAAAACTTGCCTTGATTAAACAATCCAACCACCCTGTGAGGCTTTGCTGAGTAAATCATATAATTTTTTATTTATATAAGCGTTGGATATCTCATCAATCAAGCCGCACTTGTTGTGCTCATTCGCACACTAATGTGTGAGTGCAAAGCAGAGTTGCTGCGATGCCACAAAGATTTAGGATGATGAAGTGTCAAGTTTACATGCCTAATAATAAAAATATAAAGTTCTGTTCATGAAATATTAAAATTCACTTTTACTGATGCTAACTACACATGCTACATGACAGAAAGACGGTGTTTAAAAATCGGTTGAGTGCCCATTGAGACCAGAAGTATCTTTTCCCAATGGCAATCTGGGTCAACCAGTTCTGTCAATCATAGCATAGTGATGCTATTAAAGAGGTATAGTTTACAAAAAATATAAGTTATGTTTACAATTTTTTAACAACCCTGCAAGATACAACACGTGGAACATTCCATTTAAAATGCACGTAAAAGGAGATGTAGTATATTCGGCCTAAATCCACTGCCTTTCTGGTGCCCTGTGCACAGTTTTACACAACCGATTTTCTTTCTCTCTGTTTTCAGCCTACGGGTTTGTGTTAATACACTTTGGACTGAACGATGAGGCAATCAAACACTTCACGTCTCTGCTGCAGGTAAAGTCCACTTTGCACAGCGGTGTCCATGATGCACAGTGTACTCGCCGCCTCCCTCTTGACGAGGGAGTCTTTAACGCCGCACACAATGAGTCCCAACAATTCTGCAATGTGCCTATGCTTTTCTACAAACACTAGGACAACGCAGACCTGGTCAGTGCTGTGTACGGCAGGGCCATTGCATATGCACGGAAAGGGCTGCAGGTAAGGAGATTGCAATAATATTTTTCTTTGCACTGCCACATTTCAATGCTTTACTGTCAATGTTTGCTGATGTGCAATATAGACTATTGAGGAAGAGCCAATACATGGACTATAATAAAACACCTTGTTACTGCTTTCCGATGAAGGTGGAACACCTTTAATGCTTGAGCTCTCGCTGTCCATCCGTTCGTAAAGGGGGCGTAACCCGCACCTCCGATTATCACGGTTGGCTATGTACGGTGTGAAAGAAGTTCAACATACATGTAACTCTCGCCGAGATTATATGAACCAACCTTAATTTAAAAGTTATGCGTTGCTGTGAAAGACTAATTGAAAACCTGCCAAATTGATAAAGGCGTTTCCAACACCTTAAAGATAAACGACAGCAATAATGACTTTGCAAATACAGTAGAACCTTGGATTGCGAGTAACTTGGTCTGCAAGTGTTTTGCAAGACGAGCAATTTTTTAAAATAAATATGAATTTGATAAACGAGCGAGGTCTTGCAACACGAGTAGTACTTGTATACGCCTTGTCTGCCGAGCGTCACGTGATCACAACTGATATACGATTGCTTTGATATACGAGTGATTTGGGTGACAAACACGTTTCCGGAACGAATTATGCTCGCAATCCAAAGTTTTACTGTATACAAAATAATTTTGCCCTGACAGATAGCCATTGGCTTTCGTACCCAAAGAGAAACGCAGTGTTGGATAGCATTACGCCGTCCGTGCATTATACGCACTTTTACCATCAGGTGAAAGCCTACTGACATAACAAACCTCATTTTGCAAGGGATACCTCTGGGTCTTAGCAATTGGAAAACATTACGTAGGTGTGGACTTCTGCACACCCCTGTTCAGTGGTTTCTTGTAAGGGAACCTTTACATGAGTTATATCGATGCAAAATATGTACTCCCATAATGTAACGATTTAATATCGGGCAGAATGTTTAATTTTATTTGAAAGCATGTTTGAAAAAAAACGATCGGTTTTATCGCGTTATTTTGCATCGAATAATTAATGAGCGAACCAGTGTGAAAACAGTGGCAATGAATGGAGAGAGAGAACACTTGTGAATACTGCACACTCGCGATAACCTCGGTTATATAAGAGTTGTGGTGGTGCCATGACGGTCTGAATCGTGCACTGACCCCCCCCCCCCACCCACGCTGGCGCTGTCAGGATATTGAGAACATGCAACGGGCGCTCGCAGATTTCGATCAAGTTCTGCAGTTGCAACCAGAGGCAGCGTACGTCTATGAGCAGCGTGCAGAGGTGAGCGGGCTCTATCTGACCACAGGCGTTTTAACTGCAATGCATGTTTTTGCAATGCGATTGTGATAGAATTTCACCATGCTGTCTTTTACACATCACACCTGCTAAAGATATTAGTGTTCAATAATGACGAAAGAAAGAGCGATACTTGAAAGATTTTGAGAATAGGCTATTGACATAGACACATTAATCAACGTCCCTTTTTCATTATAGTTTTGCTTGTTTATGTTTAGAATTAGATAATTAAAGTCTAAGTATTAGTGCTCTAGAACTGATCATATCTGCCTTCATTGCGATCGTTTTGTGTTGCCTACAGCCAAAATTATGTTCACAAAAGTAAGCGATTGAAGCCTATGGCCAAGTCAGCAAGAATGCATCCGATCGCATCAGGGTTCTGAAGCTAAACAGGATTCAGCCTGGACAGTGCTTGGATGGGTGACCACTATGCACAAACAGGGGTTGTCATTGGGGTTACGGGGCTACTTGGTGGGCAGCAGAGGGAAGTTCGGAAAACATTCATTTGCGCGCTCTACTTCTATGCTGCCACACATATACAGTCCCCACTTTACTGACTCGCACTGACTAACATGGTAAGGTATGTTAAAAGAACCCTCACAGTGTGGGGGGAGGCCCTCGTCCATCGGTGTATTGACAGGAGGGCCGTGCGCGTGTGAATTAACGGCCGATTGTCGTGCTGTGGCAGCTGTTGTCCCCGCTGGGCCGGACGGCGGAGGCGGTGGCCGACTGCACCCGGGCGATCGCGCTGCGCCCGTCGGCCCGGCTCTACCTGCTGCGCGGGACATTCAGCTTCATGTCCGAGGTCCGTGCCGTGCCGTTAACCGAAACCTGACCACAAAAACAACAACAGCAGCATGGCTCTCCGATGGGTTTTCTGGTTGTACCGCGTGTGGCACGGCGTGATGTCCGACGTTTCACTCCGTGAGAAGAAGCTGCCAGCATTGGGGGTTAAACATCGGACATCGTTACAAATGGCAAGATTGTCGTGGAACAGAAACAAAATCCAATTCGTATGGAAATTTAAAAAGTTGCATATTTGTAACTTCTTTGGTGGTACATTTTTATTCAATGCAATTATAAAATTTGCATTGAAAGATGTATATTTTAATAATCACCCTCAATATCCCCAATTGTGTTAGAGCTTGGAAGCTAAGCGGGTTTCATCCTGGTAAGAACAAGAATGGTTTACTCGCGTTTCCTCCCACATACCAAAAAGTCACAAATGAAATTGGCCAAACATGGCAATGTTGGACCCTCATGAAAAATTCTCAAAATTTAGCAAGGCTTCCCCAAATAAAATATTGGCATTATCATTATAGTACTTTATGTAATTGTGATGCCGAAATGAGAATTGTAAACATCACCATTGTTGTCCGCCCTGCCTGCAGGACTACCCGAAGGCCTACGAGGACTTCCAGAAGTCTCTGGAGCTGGACATGAATCAGCCGGTCGCCATGCACTACAAGGGCCTGACCTTCTACCACCGCGGCAAGCTGCGGGTGAGCGGCGGGGTGGAGGAACGCGGGGGACATGCCACGGGGAGCGCGGGTTTGCCCCGGCTTTGAGGGTTCTGGCGTCACGCCTTCTTGATGAATTGATTTTCTCGCTCTCTTGCGCAAGTGTGGGGGCAAAAGGTTATCGTGAAGTGCTGTTGCTGCTTTTAGAGAATTTTTTTTTTTTAAGGAGCGTTATCTGTGTCGATAAACCATTAGGGCTAGAGGTGTTCCTTCGTTTAACCGATGAAATTATAACAATGGGAAATATTATGCGAGTACAAATGAAAACAACAAATGAAAGGACTGTTAGCAGAGGTGTAAAATATATATTTTTAAACTCATCACGCTGATAAATAAGACACTGCTTTACAGCTGTGGTTTCTCTCTGTGCTGTGAAGGTCTATTGTCTGAAACGTCACCTATTATATACTTTTTATTTTTAAGATTGGTCATGAATTTTAGAGAAGGGGATGTTATAATTGCATACTAACACACTGATTTCCCTAAATAATTGTAATTCATGTGTTATTGAAATGCATCCAATGACACCGATATTTACTACTATAATACGCCAAGAATGTCTGTGTCCCGCGCGTGACGTCACTCCATGTCGGCCAGCCGCCCTCATTAATACTCATGAACAGGTGACGTCCTCCACATGGACCCCCCCCCCCTCATTAACAATCATGAGCAGGTGACATCACTCCACATCGAACAACCCCCCCACATGAATAATCATGAAGAGGTGACGTCTTCCAAATGGACACCCCCTTCATTAATATTAATTAGCGGGTAATGTCACTCCACATGGGGGGCCGAGGCGCCTCCTCCCCCCTCCTCAGCGTCAACTTACAACCCTCACCACAAAGGCAGAACCCTCACGTCATCACGTGATCTCCGTATAGCTGTTGAGACATCAAAGTAAAAAGGACGTCATGATGAACAAGGGATTATAACCGTTAAATTAAATAAGTCTGTGTCACCGCGGCCTTACATATTGCACGCGAATTGATGCAATTAATATCACGTTGCGGTCTGCTTTTCGCTTGCAAGTTTCAGATTTACTGAAATACACCCGTCCTTGGACGGGCAAAAGGCTAGTAGTTAAATAATACTCAAAGATTGTGCTTCAAAATGCTAAATAGATTTGTGCAACTATTGTTTTGGTATAATCAGTGGTACGTATTGACCACCACTCCGTATGTATATCAATGGTGCTTCATTGACTACGTAGCTAAAAACAAAATGTGTAAATAGTCAAAATTGCCAAGATAAACCACTTTGTCATATCGTTGTGAGGCAGAAGGTGAAGCCACAGCTTCCCACAGAAGTCGGTGAACGCTTCTAAAAATGTTTCAGATGTTTGCGGCGCCTCATGGGTTCCCACCTGCGGGTGTGCGCTATCAGTTGACCGCGTGAGTCGCACTGAAGCGGTTTCCACCAACGCCTCGCGCAGCGTCACCGCGGCAACCTTGGCGTGAGGCAGTCATGGCAAACGGCAACCTTGGCGTGAGGCAGCCGTGGCAAGAGGCAGCCGTAGAGAGAGGCAGCCGTCGTGCGCGGGAGCCGTGGCAGGCGGCGTACGTGGAGTTGAGAGCCCTCTCCCCACCCCCTCCCAGCCGGGGGCAGAGGCCCTGAGTGACTCCATCTTGATTGTAACCAGCATGCCGTGGGGTGGTCGCGACAGGGTCATTCCGTCGTCAGCTCAGCCAAAATCCAGGGAAATTGCCACCTCAAGATTGAGATCTTGTTTGCCTTTTGTGTCGTGCAAGATGCAGATCACCTACGAATGCATGCCAAATATTTAAGTTGAGTGATGAATATGCACTGACACAAATTCCCTTTGTTGGGGCAAAGGGAATTTGCCTTATTTTGGCATGGTTTTGAGAACCTAGAAATGGTATAGAGTCATGAACGATTAATTTCCCCCAAGTGATTCAATGAATTATCATGATTCAGGGTCAAGATTCGATTAGGAATTATTTTTTGTCTCATCTGTTTGTTTTTGTACAATTCACAACGTAATATCAATTGCATTTAGGTCGGATGAATTGTCAACAGTTTTTTCCGACATGCATGATTGGAAGCACACACTGTGAGCGCAAGAATCTATACGGAATCGATGCGTTGTTACGCGCCTGGTGGTGACCGTGTGTCTCGGGGAACATGCCTGGATTGGGTGGGGCCTGGTCTCCTGGAGTGCTCTGCTGACACACGCGGCTGTTCGTTCTACAACACTGACACCGCCCGACTGCATAATAGACTCGTCATCCTCCAGCAGCTTCTTTAGTTAACACAGGACGGCTAGTGATCAGCTGTCACACTGTGGTGTCGGCTATCCACGTAAATCAAAGCTTACTTTACTGTGTGTGCGATGTGGGAATAACGCCAACAAACAACCGTTAGCAACTCTGTCATCGCAAATGCATGACTGAACGAATATCGCGCGACCGAAAATAAATACTGAGAAGCCAAGATGCTTTTTGTGTTTAGTTTATTGTCCTTCCCCGCGCCTCCGTATAGCACGGTTGGCTGCGTACGGTGTGAAATAAGTTCAGCATACATACAGTAGACAATGCAGTTGGTTGATTTACAGCAGCACTTGCATTGCTGTGTGTGAGTAATGTTAAATAATTTGACTGTCTGATGAGGCCACTCTGAAGCCCAGTGCTGCCTGTGGGGGCTCCACATATCTGTACCGGGCCCCGCACAAAACACTTTTGATTACTTATTACATGTACAGCCCTTTTGTAAATCCATTCTGTGCAGGTCAAACGTGTTAATTGATCATATTTCAACACAGTGGTCAGTGCAGATTGGTGGAGGAGAGGGGTGTAGATGTGGAAGCATAGAAGTGTGGTCCAACATTGCTTTTTTCTACATTATCCTCTGCTGCCCAAGATGTATCCCCACAGCGCTGTGACAACCTGTTTGTGTGTGGTGGTCGTCCATCCAAACACCGCCCAAACTCTGCTTGGCTTCAGAGATCTGACTGGATTGGGCACATTCCATAGGCGCAATTATATTACGCTTAATGCTGCACACAAACGAGCAGATATTCAAGAATCCATTGTTGTACTGCCTTCTTCTGGCCACGATGCAGACCTAGCTTATCACACTTGGTTGTCCCGGGTAGTTTTCCCATTTAGGTACATACCAGACACAACTATGCTTAACTCCAGAGATCTGTTGGCAAGCTGTTGTCCTTTGATGCTATGCGAGTCCCGCGACACGACTGGTTGTGAGAGTATTCCGTGCGCGCGTGTCACACGCAGGAGGCTGTGGACACGTTCAAAGACGCCCTGAGGCTGAAGTCGGACTACACAGACGTCTACCGCAGCCTCGGCCAGGCCTACAGGTGGAAGCATTCCACGGCGTCCGTCGAATCGCATCGTTTCGCTCTGTCATGAGCTCCCTCTTCGTGAACCGGACAGCGCTCTACCGATTGTGGTTTTTTTAAATCACGCATATGGAGAGCGGCGTACCAGTGATTCAAGCGCTGTGCCGTGATGATCTTGGTAGCCGCGCTTTGGTTTCCCGCCAAGGCGAACATTAATGTAGTAATATCTGAACCGATCCTGGCTTCTCCTTTCACAAACGCTCATTGATGAGTGTGGTGAAATATTGCCAATAAAACCCATGACGAGCACACCCATTGGAAGGGCTTCGTCCAGCAGTGAGTTATTATAAGCGCGTACATAATTATTGTTGTGTATGTTTATGAGTTGGTGAATAGCATTGCCTAAGGGGATCTATCAAGCATGAGCCTTCTCTGAAGTTGGCCATATCAAATGACAACGGCATATAGAATCGCTGATGTGTCATAGACCATAGCCCCAAAAATGCGGCGACTTGTTTCTGTTTATGGTCACAGTTTTATTTGAGAATAGATGATTTTAGCTCTTGTTTATTTAATGTCTCATTCCTATACCGTTTCTCATATTTTTATTCACTTTTACAATGTTTTTCTCCATTAGGCTCAATTTATAATGACCATATTAGTTGCATGCATTTCATATCCATCGGAAACGTCTTTTTTTGTTGTTTTTGCGACTGTAAGAATAGTTTTTCATCGATGCATCGTCATATGCCCGTACAAGTCTGTAAACAAACCCGGTCCCGCACACGCCTCCTGTGCGAGCGAGTGGGGCTCGAGGCACGGCGGAGGGCCCACGCCGGCTGACAAACTCCCGCGCGTCTCCTGGGCCGCTGTCGACCCTCGCTTTGTGGCCTTGCAGGGAGTTGGGCGATTTCGAGGCGGCGATGGAGAGCTTCCAGAAGGCGCTGCTTCTCAACCAGAAGCACGTGCTGTCGCTGCAGCTGCGCGGCATCATGCTGTACCATCACGGCGAGCCCAGCCAGGCCCTCAACGACTTCAAGGTGAGAGGAGATTTTTTTTTGTGGTGACCCCCCCCCCCCCATCCTGCTCTGGGGAAGCTGTGCGAGCCCTGTTTTGGCTGTCTGAGCCACGGCCGTTTCTGTTGATTCGCAAGAATTCGATGAGTCGTGCCAGTTGTGTGGTGAATTTGCAAATGACCGGTGGTATGTGGGAATTTGATCTAGTGAGAGGATGAGGTTCTGAGAGAGGTGGTTATGTTTTTTTATCATCATTGCTAAGCACAATATACAAAGGGCCTGAATCGCAAAGCAGCCAGCCACAAACAGCACTGTTGAGGTTGACATAGATAAGAGTTCATACGAACACGTAGGATTTTCGCGACCAATATTGGCAACTCTGGCTGTGCCCTTGATGAAGCTAGTTGTAATTACTGGTGGAAACTTCGTACTCAAATTGTCAACGTTGTGGGTTTACCCTGCTGTACTCGTAACAAATTGGGATGTTTTGTTTACTTGACATACCTGACTAATTGGCTGTCGGGTGGTGGTGAGTGTAACGGCACATTCATATTTACGCTGCTTAACCCCAAAAAACCTCTATTATGGAAGAGTTCAATCGTTTCTTGACTTGAGCAAGCTTTATGAAATCTTAGGAAAGAGACGATGGGAGGGCGCTCCAAAGCCGAGGAATCCGGGGAACGAAGCGGAAAGACAAGTGGTGTTGACCTGCAGCGTGGCAGCGGTTCGAACACAGCGTGGATGAGATGACGCAGGCAGTCTGGCCGCCCGAGTCCTCGGCATGGGTGTGCTCCGTTTGGTGACTCTCTCACGAGCGAGCAAGACGAGGCACGGGTGCGTGCACCCGCGGTCCCCGTGAAGTCGCGAGGTGTGTGGAGGCAGCGGAGTTGTAACCGCCGCTTGCGTTGTTGCCCCGTTGTCAGCGCTGCCTGCAGCTGGAGCCCTCCAACGAGGTGTGCCAGTACATGAAGGGGCTGAGCCACGTCGCGCTGGGCCAGTTCTACGAGGGCGTCAAGGCGCAGACCAAAGTGATGCTCAACGAGCCGCTGCCGGGGCAGAAGGCCAGCCCAGAGTACCTGCGTGTTAAGTACCTCCGAGGTGTGCGTGTTTGTGAGCGTGCGTTTCCGAACCGACGTCGATGTTGTAAACAGTACCCGGGGAGGCGAAGGCGGCCGGCCGTGGTGCCAGCCACACTCCGCTGCCTTGCGCGCCTTCCCGGCCTAAATAGGTGCTCGCTGTGATGGCACTTGTCCCAGCAGTGGGCACGGTTGTAGGTGGACCATTTTGTAGTCGCCCCCCAGTGTGTGCAACCCTGAGTTGTCGTTTTCGGTGTCCGGACACAGTCACTCTCGTTATTTTCCGTTGTCCACTGTCGAACTATTGGCATGTTCGGAATGCGGCCGTGTCGCCGTGTGCGGCGCCCGCATTGGCCGTGTGTTGCGTGCTTGCCGCGGGGAGGGGGGAGGTGCGGGTGGGGAGGCACGGAGGGTGCGCCGCTGTCGTTTTCAGGGCTCTGGGCTGTGAAGGGTCGATTTGTTTTGTGAGATTGCGCATACCTGCCCTGAACCCATTTAAATTCGCTCTGTTATTCTTAACCAGGGCAGGCCACATTGAGATCAGTTATTTTGTGTGGTGGAACTTGTAAGCCGGTAGTTAATTTGTGACACGTTGAGAGAAATATAGAACTTTATGACGACGAAACGCAATTGCTGGTGATGTTTTAGTCTTGGGATTTTTGTTTGGCCATTCACCCTGACATGCAGATGACCCCTTATAGCGAAGTAAGAGCCCATTAAGACCAGAAGTCTCGATTTCAAGGGGGTACCCAGTCATATCGTACACTTGTGAATTGTGTCTCATGCTCTGCTCACCTCCAAATGACAGCAAAAGGTCCACAGACAATGTACGCAGCCAGTCTTTGGCCCTTCCCAATTGGGCATTATGAATAACTAAGAAAGTAAATTGTTGAGCTAGGTAAATATGTTTGAGTCCCTAGACGTCATGTTCGGAAAGTCCTGCATTGGGATGTTTGACAAATTCAGATTTAAGGAGTGTTTAGGGTTTGTTTGGGAGGAAACCGGAAAATATCCACGCTTACCAGGAGATGGCTTTCGCAGGTCTGCACAGACGGGTTTATAAAGTAATTTGCTGTCCTGTCACCTCCTGGCCACCTCGTAGCCCAGAATATTTGGGAGTTTGACAGATGTGTATGATCCACTGATCCGAGCATGCGAAGCGCTGGATTACAGGTGAGCGCCACTGCATCCACGTAGTGAAGCTGATGTTTTATTCTGTAACCTACGCAGTTGCAATTACCTTTTGTAAACATACATGTTCATATACGAGGGAAAGCAAATCTGAAAATATGAACAAGTGTAATTTATAATAATAATAGAATATAATTTCTAAAGCGCCCTTAAACAATTGTTATCAGGGTGCTAGAACAGTAGTTTTGGCACAAATAAATCCTTTAAAGTTTAGGAGAAAACTTTGCAGATACAACTCAAGTCACAGTTTGCCTTTTGCCATGCCTGGCAAATGTGTGCTCACTTTGCGGTTTAATTGTTTATGTTCTCAGAGTACTCCCGGTACCTGCACGCCAACCTGGACACGCCCGTGGCCGACTGCAGTGCCGACCACGACCTCACGGCAGCGTTCCGCGAGCACTGGGCCAAGAACCTGCCGTTCCTGCTCGAGGGATACGAGGAGCAGCCGGGCCTGCAGCCTTCCATCAGGTTAGGGCCGTGCACCCGCAACCACCGCCGCCGCCGCCCGCGGCCTTGGGGGTTTCCGCCACCCTCATCTGTCGGCTGTTATCAAACTCCAGTCCTCGTGACTCCTCCCGGCACAGCTTTCCGTGCTTACAGATGATTTCCAACTTGTGTGCCAATCAATTGACTGCGCACCTGATGGTTGGTAATCTCACATCATGGAAAGCTGCATGTGGGGGAGAGTTGCAAGGATTTGAATTTGATAAATCCTGGCCTAGGTCTTGCTGGTCTGCCCCAAGCCCTCTCATAGGAACTCATGCCCACGTCTTAGTTAAAACGGAGTTCGTTACTTAACATTGTATACTCGAAATACATTATTTTGCTGGCACCCCAAGTCTCCCGTGAAAAGAGTCTTTTGTCTCGCCGCGCCAACTCGCCGCGCCTCCTCCCGCGCCCCTCCCCCGCCAGGGACGTTGTGCCGCAGAGCTTCGACGCTTACGGTGCCGACGTTCGGGAGCTGGTGTGCGCGGCCGACCGCCTGGGCTCCCTCATGCAGTACGACGCGCCCGGCTTTCTGCCCAACCGCAGGGTTCACAGAGGTGGGGGGCTTCGTGTCGCGGGTGACATCGATGCATGTAGACTGACCCTTTTGTTGCGCCCGAAACGTCGCGATTTTATTTAGTTGTTTTCATTTATTTTATTTTTTACCTACGTGACTTTACCGAAAAAACCAAAGAGTATGAATCCTTGCAGTCACGAAAGCTTCAAATCTAGAAGTAACCGAGAACGATTTAAAGCTTTCGTGACTGCAGGGATTCATCTTTACCGAAAGAACCAAGAAGATAACCGAGAACGGTTGTTGTTTTTTCTTTTTTTTCTTCCCCCCACTGATAAATGAGCATTTGACGCTCGTTCGTGCCTTGACCGAGTGCAGCCATGGGCATGGCGGCACTGGAAGTCATGCAGACGCTCCAGCACGTGTGGCGGAATGGCAAGGTGCGCGTGGCCGGGAAGAGCCGTAGGCTGACGTGGAGGGACCTCTTCGATGTCGCCGTCAAGTGGAGGAGGTGAATGTCGCGCTGCAGCGGGACGTGCGCGGGGCTCCTTGGCGTTTTGAGCACGCGTCGTCATACCGATATCGTACTGTAAAGCTGCCTCGATAGGAAACCTGTCGTGTTTGTGTGCGGCCTTCTGTGCGTGCATGGTTCAGGATGGTTGACCCAGACCAGCCAGTTCTGTGGTTAGACCTGATGCCGGCACGTGGCCTAAAAAGCGGCTTCAACAGCCACATCAACCTCGTCAGGTTAAAACCTGCATCGGCGACGGCACTGACTTGCGCATCAACAGCAGCATTAACACCAGTACCTGACACCAACACATGGTCATATATAAACACCAGCACTAACGCCATCACTGACTCGTACGTCAACACTGGCACTGTCACTGCATTGTCGGCATTAACATCGACTTGTGCTTACAGGGGTCACGTCAGCAACCTGCGCTACGCGACGTACTTTGACAGGATGCTGACCTCCGTGAAAGAGAAACTCTTACAGCATTATGGGTACTCTTTCGCATTGTCACGTTCCTGCATTCCATACGGCTAACGTGAAACTGATGTTGTATTACTGCAGATGTTATTTGATTGTACATGACACGTGGCATTGATTTCCTATACTGGCATAGCACATGGAATTCATTTCCTGTACTGGCTGATAAAAAAATCTAAAGAATTTGGTTAATTATGGTGTGCCAAACTGCATTCGTTCTGCTCCCAGTGTTATTGGTGACGTGTTAATTTGACAAGGAAATGTTGGCATCTGTTGCTCGATAAACAATTGGATGTGTGTATATGGAGACGGGTTGGAGAGCAGGGGGGCACGGTGACTTGACTTTGTGAGGCTCGTCTGAACGTGCTGCGGTAAAAGTGCTTTTGTCGCTGCGCACAGAACGAACCCCAAGCTGCACGGAGAGACCAGGGAGTCGGTGGAGAAGGCGAGGTCGGTAGAGGACCTCCTCCCGGCTCTCAAGGTGAGCGCTCGTGCTTGACCCTTCATTGTCGTAGGGGAGGGTGGTGGCAGTGGTGGTAATGATGATGCTGTGGTATGGCTGTTAATCATAATGGTGGTTATTGTGGTTGGTATCGGTGTTGACAGCAGTGGTGGTATTATGGTGGTATTGTTGAATTTCTGTTGTGATTGAAGTTGATGGTGTAGCTGATGGAAGTGATTTTTTTATTGTGTTGTTGTTGGTGGTGGAGGTTTTAGAGTTGATGACAGTGTAAGAGTTATTGGTGGTTGCTGAAGGTGGTGGTGGTGCTCCTGTTAATTATTTTGCTGTTGTCCTTTGTGCTAATGATGATGGCGGGGGTGGCCTCAGAAGATCTTCCACAGCGGGCGGCAGCAGCAGCAGCAGCCTGGATTCATGGTGGCCACCAAGGTGCCGGGCAGGGCCGACCGTGACCAGCAGCTGGACGGCTTCACGCTCACCATGACGGGCGATGCGTAAGCACTGCTTTTGGTGTTTAGTTTGTTGTCCTTCTCCCGCGCCTCCGATTAGCACGGTTTGCTACGTATGGTGAAGAGAAAGATGTTCAACATACATATACACTCAAGTGCACCTCGAGACTATTTACCAAATTAAAAACAGGGTGAGAGGGTCAGGACAGGGTAGTAGGGGAGAGAGGAGAGAAAAAAGTAACGCCATGGCACAGCACCTGGATAAATTGACCGTGTGCCAGCACCAACAACAAGTCCCAGGGGATCTTCAGGGAGCTGGGTGCTCATTCATCAGTGAGACCCAGGTCATCCACGGGGGAACCAGGGGCCCCTTCATCTTGTTCCATCCCTGTCCCCCGACCCTGTCGCCATCCTGCAGTGTGGGAAACGTGCTGTTCATTGCGGACACGCAGACGACGCAGCGGCGCACGGACGAGTACCACTCGGAAATCCGCGAGCTCTTCCAGCAGTTCCTGGAGCAGGGCAAGCGCATGCGACTCTCGGCACAGCCCGGCGTGAGTGTGCGTGTCTGGGATATTTTAGAGGAGAGTACAAATGTGTGAAGTTGCTGTATGTTATTTGTACAGTGTGTGTGTTGTTTGTGGGATGCTGCTGTGGTGTAATGATTAGTACACTGGACTTGAAATCCAGATGTTGAACAGTGGGCAATTTTCTTGAATCTCCACCATCTCTGTCCACTAAGGAGTATAAATGGGCACACCAACATCAATTGGCAGGTCACTTGCGGTGGGTTAAAGTGTGGGGACTCCCACATCTTCCAAGATGTCTGGCTAGCGTGCAAGATTGAGTTAAAAATACCCTCCGCCAGTAGTCGCGTGACCAGGAAATTGCAGAGCTGCACCTTTATATTGCCTGTGTGTGAAGAATGGTTGTGCAGCAGTTAGGGCACTGCACTACGATCCCAACAATTGTTGACTTAAAGCTTTCGTGGCTGCAGGAGTTCATATTCTTTGGGTCTTTTGGTAAAGTCACTTTACCGAGAGACGGTGTGGAAAGACCGACATCCAGCAGTCGATGGACAACAGCCGATGAGAAATATATCTTCTCAAAAGTTTTTCTGTTACTGTAAAGAAAACCACGAGCACAGATCCACGCTTCACTACTAGTTTTTTACGTCTCGCAGTAACCTTGAGCTTCAGGGCCCATGTGTTTAAACGATTAATTCAACAATGTGCGGTTGTGTGCTTCCAGGATGTGGACACGCTGTGCAATATAATGCTGTCCATGGTTTACTACTTCTACAACCTCATGCCTCTCTCGAGGGGCTCCAGGTGAGCGTTTTACCTCCTCTTTGACCAGCTACAAAGAACGCCGCTATTAGAAATGATGCAACATTATTATTGCCGTATGTATATCAAACTTCTTTCGCACCGTACGTAGCCAATCGTGCTAATCGGTGGTGCGTGGGAAGAACAGAAAACTAAACACAAAAAGCACTTGTAAAGAAATTCGTTTCCAATCTAGATGATTTAACAGTGCATAGCTCCAGTGGCTTCCTAATATCGGAAGAGCATTCAAGAAGGCCGCAGAAGCGCATCTGAAAGAGCGCAATGCAGTGACCGTCTTTGTTCGATAGCTAGCCAAGAAGCCGCTGCTCTAATGCAGAAATCTCAGTCCCACAAAACATCTCAGGTTTGAGACATCGACTTGTATTTCTGCACTTTCCCAATATTTATTCCACTGACATCTCACTAAATCCTAGGCGATGCTTATTTACTTTGGCATTTGTTTCTTTGTGATACATTCTCCTCCAGCGTGGTCGCGTACACCATTTTGGTCGGGGGTCTGCTGGCCAGCGGCAAAGAGATCTCCGTGAAAATTCCGAAGGGAATGGTGAGTCGTGCCGACAGTGTGGGGGGTAGCACCCGCTGGGCTTGGTTGTTGTTCTTGTTGCTGTTTGTCACGTGGAGGCGTGGCGTGTGTGTACGTGTGCTCTTGTCAGCTGGTTGACCTGGAGGCCATGACTGCTGGCAGTCCGGACGCCTTCATCAGTACGATGAGAACTTGGATTAAATTAAAAAGGTACTAGATTTCTTTTTTGGTTTTGCACTCACCCATCCCCTTTTGGCTGAAACCGTTCCCCTGGTGTATATTGGCCCACACTGCACTTCTCCACTTAGATTCATCTTATTATTGACTGAATCAGGCATTGTTAATAAATGCTACTTAATCTTCCACATTCCCTTCCGGTGTGAAGGACTGAACGTTGGGCTGTACCGTTTTTTGTGCGATTGACCTCACTGGTTTTGTATCAGTCCATTCTCCTGTCCGTGCCCCCACCCCCCCCCCCCCCCCCAGTGCATCGTGGGTGCAGTCAGGGCTGCCGAGCGTGGCCGAGACATTCCCAACGCTGCGGGGCGTGTTGGAGGTGCTCAACACGGACGCGGCGTCGCACTGCCACCGTGCGTCCTAGCGCCACTGGGGCACGCCTCTCTCCTTCACAACCATAAATTATTTTAATTTGTCTTTGCTGTTATTTACACCCCAACAAGTCGTCAACTTTTGTGATCAGGGACCACTGTAGCCCAATCTTCCTTGCCTATCTAGGCCAACGGGCTCTCAATCGACGGTCATTGTGACTAAACATTCAAATGTTTCAGGTTTAGCAGTCGCCTCCTTTCAGTTAAATTTAGGTGATATGCTCGGATGTGCATGATGATTGCGACCGGATCTTTAAGTCACCGCAGCTGGTGGTCAAACCAGACAACAGATGTATGTGGTTCTTTGTTAGAATGTTGTGTTAACCAGCATTTGGTTTGAGGAGGCAAATCCAAATCGGTGTGGACTTTGATGACAGGAAGTTGAGAACCTTTGGGGCCTTGTTACTTAACAGCATATTTCATGCAAGAAATTGTGCAATTCGAAAAAAGTGTCATAAATTTACTTTCCAGAATTTTATTTTTGAAGAAATGTTGGCCACTTCAAGTACATGTATGTTGCACATCACTGGAGAGCAGAAGGTATATTAACTGTGGCTAAGCCCTTTAAAATATGAAAAGGGACGTTTGTCTTAGACATACAGTACATAAAGGGAACACTGAAAGAGATTATTTTATGTTTAATTTATATTTGATTATTGTTTGGTAGTCGTGTCGGAATGCACGCTTAGGCAGGGATTTTGTCACACTCCAATTATTGACAACCAAATATGAGGAACCAGGTGTTTTTTTAAAGAATGCCTGCATAAGATGTGGCTGGTGCAAACCATCGAAGAATTACTCTGCAGAAGTCAATTTGATCTGTTTTGGCTCAGAAACCAAGAGCATGCACGTTGATGGAGTTACGCATTTTGTTTTGAGGCTCGGTCGGTGGTCGATGTGCGTTGCCGTACAACCTCGGCTCAGATTTTTCCGCACCACCATCGCCGATGCTGCCCTGCATGGATAAAGTGGCGTTTACCACCACCGACCAGCGGATCCTGCTGGGCATGATGGAAGCAGCATTCTTCTTTGTAATTGAGTTATTAAAATACTCCATGGCATTGTTTGCAAGAGTAGGCACTTAAAAGGCAGTGTTTTGGATCAATGAATCAATTGATTGCAAAGTACTCAATTTAAATGTGGTTAAAGTTGCGTGCGTCAACACAACTGGCTGCCTAACCCCCAAACACTTTGGTAGATGGCGTTCACCCTGAGACGTGTTCATTGCGCAGAGTGCGGGATGACTGGTGATGGTCATGGGGTGGTGAACAAATCGAGTCTCCGATGAGCTTTTGGTGAAATCTCGAGAAAGGATGCCTGACGCCTTTCTGTCGAATGGCGCCGACCTTCAGTGTTCACACCACCAACGTGGCCGGTGAAAAGCGTCGCAGTTAGGGGGTGAGGGCACGAGTGGTCATTTTACTTAGATTGCCAGGACATGTTTGATCAAAGTCATCTCTTCAATGCATGAAATAAGTTTGCGTACAAAGGCGCCTTTGATTTTTCTAACACCTGCCAAGAGTTCCGACGGCGGAGGTTGCTGGCACTTTTAATTTGAGGCGTCAAACGCCCAGGGGAAAAATACAATAGAAAGTCTCTATTACCTTGTTTAATTTGAAAACTTGGATTCGATTGCTCAATCTTTGCCATACATAAAAGAGCAAGAACTGTATGTGGCATTCTCAGTTGGATGCAAGATTGTTACTTAAGTCTGCATTAAACAGTGCCTTCATCAGTATAATTCGAATTGCGTGTTTTTTTATAATTTCTTACCAGTGTTGGTTGTTTATATACCAAACAGCGGAGGTGCCGAGGGTAATTTAAATGTATTATTTACGTGTCCTTGAAAACCTCAGTGTCCCAAAACCAGCAGGGCGGTGCACCAACCCCAAATAATTCCTGATCGATTAACCTAAAATGATTGCGTGACCAAACCCCAATCTCCATATGACCCACCATCCCTGGGAAGGCGGACGTCCAAAATAAACACGCGAGTCCCAAACAGTGGCGCACACAGACGCCTCCTTCCTGCATTTCGACATTCCTCGAGGACGGAGACTGATTCACTCGCTCACCCCACTCACCACTGGTTTAACCATCAACTGATTCACTCACCCCACTCACCACTGGTTTAACCATCAACTGATTCACTCACCCCACTCACCACTGGTTTAACCATCAACTGATTCACTCACCCCACTCACCACTGGTTTAACCATCAACTGATTCACCCACCCCACTCACCACTGGTTTAACCATCAACTGATTCACTCACCAACCCACTCACCACTGGTTTAACCATCAACTGATTCACTCGCCCACCCACTCACCACTGGTTTAACCATCGACTGATTCACTCACTCACCCCACTCACCACTGGTTTAACCACCAACTGATTCACTCACTCACCCCACTCACCACTGGTTTAACCATCAACTGATTCACCCTCTCACCCCACTCACCACTGGTTTAACCATTAACTGATTCACCCGCTCACCCCACTCACCACTGGTTTAACCATCAACTGATTCACCCGCTCACCCCACTCACCACTGGTTTAACCATCAACTGATTCACCCGCTCACCCCACTCACCACTGGTTTAACCATCAACTGATTCACCCGCTCACCACACTCACCACTGATTTAACCATCAACTGATTCACTCACCACACTCACCGCTGATTTAACCATCAACTGATTCACTCACCCACCCCACTCACCACTGGTTTAACCACCAACTGATTCACTCGCTCACCACACTCACCGCTGATTTAACCACCAACTAATTCACTCGCTCACCCCACTCACCACTGATTTAACCATCAACTGATTCACCCGCTCACCCCACTCACCACTGGTTTAACCATCAACTGATTCACCCGCTCACCACACTCACCACTGATTTAACCATCAACTGATTCACCCGCTCACCCCACTCACCACTGGTTTAACCATCAACTGATTCACCCGCTCACCCCACTCACCACTGGTTTAACCATCAACTGATTCACCCGCTCACCCCACTCACCACTGGTTTAACCATCAACTGATTCACCCGCTCACCCCACTCACCACTGGTTTAACCATCAACTGATTCACCCGCTCACCACACTCACCACTGATTTAACCATCAACTGATTCACCCGCTCACCCCACTCACCACTGGTTTAACCATCAACTGATTCACCCGCTCAACCCACTCACCACTGGTTTAACCACCAACTAATTCACCCGCTCACCCCACTCACCACTGGTTTAACCATCAACTGATTCACCCGCTCACCCCACTCACCACTGGTTTAACCATCAACTGATTCACCCGCTCACCCCACTCACCACTGGTTTAACCATCAACTGATTCACCCGCTCACCACACTCACCACTGATTTAACCATCAACTGATTCACTCACCACACTCACCGCTGATTTAACCATCAACTGATTCACTCACCCACCCCAATCACCACTGGTTTAACCACCAACTGATTCACTCGCTCACCACACTCACCGCTGATTTAACTACCAACTGATTCACTCGCTCACCCCACTCACCACTGGTTTAACCATCAGCTGATTCACTCGCTCACCCCACTCACCACTGGTTTAACCATCAACTGATTCACCCGCTCACCCCACTCACCACTGGTTTAACCATCAACTGATTCACCCGCTCACCACACTCACCACTGATTTAACCATCAACTGATTCACTCACCACACTCACCGCTGATTTAACCATCAACTGATTCACTCACCCACCCCACTCACCACTGGTTTAACCACCAACTGATTCACTCGCTCACCACACTCACCACTGATTTAACCATCAACTGATTCACTCACCAACCCCACTCACCACTGATTTAACCATCAACTGATTCACTCACCCACCCCACTCACCACTGGTTTAACCACCAACTGATTCACTCGCTCACCCCATTCACCACTGGTTTAACCATCAACTGATTCACTCACCCACCCCACTCACCACTGGTTTAGCCATCAACTGATTCACTCACCCACCCCACTCACCACTGGTTTAACCATCAACTGATTCACTCACCCACCCCACTCACCACTGGTTTAACCATTGACTGATTCACTCACCCACCCCACTCACCACTGGTTTAACCATCAACTGATTCACTCACCAACCCCACTCACCACTGGTTTAACCACCAACTGATTCACTCACTCACCCCACTCACCACTGGTTTAACCACCAACTGATTCACTCACCCACCCACTCACCACTGGTTTAATCATCGACTGATTCACTCACCCCACTCACCACTGGTTTAACCATCAACTGATTCACTCACCCACCCCACTCACCACTGGTTTAACCATCAACTGATTCACTCACCCACCCCACTCACCACTGGTTTAACCATTGACTGATTCACTCACCCACCCCACTCACCACTGGTTTAACCATCAACTGATTCACTCACCCACCCCACTCACCACTGGTTTAACCATCAACTGATTCACTCACCAACCCCACTCACCACTGGTTTAACCACCAACTGATTCACTCACCCACCCCACTCACCACTGGTTTAACCACCAACTGATTCACTCACCCACCCACTCACCACTGGTTTAATCATCGACTGATTCACTCACCCCACTCACCACTGGTTTAACCATCAACTGATTCACTCACCCACCCCACTCACCACTGGTTTAACCATCAACTGATTCACTCACCCACCCCACTCACCACTGGTTTAACCATTGACTGATTCACTCACCCACCCCACTCACCACTGGTTTAACCATCAACTGATTCACTCACCCACCCCACTCACCACTGGTTTAACCATCAACTGATTCACTCACCCACCCCACTCACCACTGGTTTAACCACCAACTGATTCACTCACTCACCCACCCCACTCACCACTGGTTTAACCATCAACTGATTCACTCACCCACCCCACTCACCACTGGTTTAACCACCAACTGATTCACTCACCACCCCACTCACCACTGGTGTCACCATTCAATCACATCAGCACATCAACAGGCCGATGTGCATCTCACCTCCTTCATGAATGGAACATTAATAAAAAGCCACAGTGCAACTTATGACCACACAACCCTGGGCCATATAACACTCATTATAAAACACGCAGACAGAGAGCTACACGCAGACACATCGAGAGTCAATCAAGACGAACCACAGTGTGGACACGCAACCCAAGCAATGGACCAAATCGTAAACCTCTCTGCGGTCATCGCTCCTTCAACAGAGGACTTCTTTCGCACCGTACGTCGCCACCTCGACACCGCGACGCACACGAAGGGACGAGGCCCCCTCAGAGCGATGGTTTACTCCGCGTGCCGCGACGCGGACTGCGTTCCGCTGCGATCCGCGCTCGCTCCGCAGACGCCACCCGTTGCCTTCGGGGAAGAAGCGAGAGCGAGAGGCGCCGGAACCTTTTTGCTTGCAGCCGCGCGCCGCTCTTCGTGTTTCCACCCGGACCCTTTTTATACTCTCCGCCGCCCCGCCCCCTCTACTAGCGACGCGCACGCGACGATTACATTACTTACACTCGATAAGCGCGGTGCCCCCCCCCCCGCGCCTATCAGTTGTAGGGAATGCAATCTCCAGTCGCGCATGACACGTGACCCCCGGAGCACGTGGAGGCGGCGGGGTGAGCCCCCCCCTCCCCCCCCCCATTGAGTCTCCGCTGTTGTTACTCTGCGGGCTTCTTGCAGCTGTGGCGCCGTCATCAAGTAGCGCTCATTGCTGATTGCTTTTGTTCTTTCCCAAGGTTCCCGAGCAGGCGTCTTCCTCTGCCGGCAGACCGCGGGGGGGGGGGGGGGTGGTGAGCGATTCGTCGTCCCACGTTGCGAGTTCAACGTTCCGGACCGAGGCCGACTCAGCTCATCATCATCGCCGTCTCACCGAGGTCGCTAAATGAAGAACCCAGTTTGTAGCAACGTTGACAAGCACCGTGTGTCCTTTTGCTCGTTTGGCCAGCGCAGAGTTTCAAAGCTGACCGCGCTGCGGGCAGCAGAGGGCAGTGCAGCACGACGGGTTGGACTGCACTTCTGTGCTCGCACGGCTACGGTCACCGCCTTCCACCCGCACTGACCAGCGTGGTGAAGTATGGTCAAATTACCCCCACGATCCGCGCCACGTGGCGAGGCCCTCGTCCAGCGGTGGCTGGCTCGACGAGAGGACCCTGCGTCGACTTGTGGGAATACTTGCCCCCGGCGTGTGAACGTGGAGTTTAGTCACGAGCAGTGGATCGACCAAAGGACTGCACATGTCCATGTACTTAATGCAGTAAGGGGCCGTCCATAAATGACGTCACGCGATTTTTGACGATTTTTTACCCCCCCCCTCGTCACGGCGTCACAAAAAGTCAGACCCCCCTTCAAATGACGTCACAAAGCTCTGCCCCCCCCCCAAAACCATATTTCTATTTTAAAAATAAAACATGCTTAAAATCACTTAACTATTGTCGTAGTAATGCGTATTTAATGTGGCGCTGCACTCTGATGTATTAAAAAGGTGGCGTTGGAAAGCTGAAATTTAGCATAAAATTCACTTGAAAATATTCAACGTCTAACTAAAACGGCAGATGTTCAGAATATTATATTGAAATTCTCTTATAATTATAAAATATTTAAAGTAATTACAACTATAAAAAATACTTGAAACTTTGTAGTAGAACGAAGCAAAATGGAGAGTACAATTATAACAACCACATATTCATTCCACAGAATGAAAAGCCCTGGTAGAATTATTAGAATCAAAATGTTTAATAACAATCATTTAAAAAAATTCAAAATGTATGCTTCTCCATTCTCCCATGGAGAAGCAAAATGCTACTTCATAGAATGAATAAAAGGTGACCTTAGTACATTTAAATAATAAAATAGTTAATAATGAAAATTAATAAAAATTAGTGTTATAACAATTCTATATTTAAAGTTGCGCATTTGTATGTGACGTCACATTTCTTAACCCCCCCCCCTCGTCACACATCACAAATGTCTGACCCCCCCCCCTCTAGGTGCGTGACGTCATTTATGGACGGCCCCTAATGTGTGTTTCATATTTTTTGTGGTGGACTGAACTTGTGTTTGTTTTGAAGCGTCACAGAGGAAGCCATGAGCACTGTCCTGGCCTCGTGCCTGCTGCGCTGCCTGGGTTCCCTGCCGCCTGCGCGGGTTTTGGAGGAGCTGACGTGGGGCGCGGAGGAGCTGCCCCAACCCGAGCAGGTGGAGGCGCTCCTCCACGTGGTTCGAGCTCTTGCTCCCGAGCAAAAGAAGGAGCCCCCAGGACCCCACGGACAGCCGACGGAGTCTGAGGGACTCGATGGAGATCAGGGCAGCCAGGGGCACGTCGGGAACCCGCGGGGTGAGGTGGACGCGGCCTGCCCCATCGTGGTCGATCCTCATCTGGCCTCAGCGGTGGACAAATTGGTCCTGTCCAGCTGCCTCCCGGCCTTGTGCAGGATTCAGACGGAAGACGCGTGGTCCTGGACGGAGCCGCTCCCTCAAGGCGACCGCGAGGTGGTGGCACGCCGGCAAACTCAGAAGCGCCTCCTGCACCTGCTGTGCCGCCTGCTCGCCCGCTGCCTACGACTCGGTGGCGACGCCTCCGGGGAGCTCGTCGTCGCACGCTGCCTCGCGGACATCCACGCGCACAACGATGAAAAGGCCAGCGGGTGGGCCCCTCGGGGGGACGCGGGCGTCCCGCTAGGTGGCTCGGGAGGAACGGCAGCGCACGGCGGCGGAGTCGACACCCTGGACGTGCACGTCGCTGTGGAGTTGCTGTGCTACGTCGTCCGCTCGCTCGGGCCCCGAGCTGTCTCCGGCGCGACGCTTCGTGTCGTCTCGCAGGCTCTGGCGGTGTCAGAAGAAGCTTTGGCCACCAGGGCCCTCAGCCGTTTGGTTCCAGCGCTGCTTGCCGCACAGAGAGACCGCGAGGCTGCGGCCGGCTTGCTGAGGACGCTGTGGGGCGACCTGGCGGAAAAGCGCATGGACGACACCGCCCGCAGCCCCTCCTCCTCCGTGTCTCGGGCGCTGCTCTTCCTGTGCACGATGTCCGACTGCGTGCTGCCCACGAGCGATCCCCACGGCGAGCGGTCGGCGAAGGCGGCGCAGGGCGGCGGCGAGGATCGGGCGACGGCTCCTGACGCCAGGTCTCAGGGCCTCGTGGATTTGCGAACGTCGGCCGCCTTCTGGCGCACGCTGCAGGACGGGCTGCGGCACGCGATGCCGCTGAGTCGCAAGCGAGCGGTGTTCCTGCTCAAGCGCGCTGTGGACGTGAGCGAGAGCCTCTCGAGAGACGTGACGTGCTCCGATGACGACGATCGTGACGGTAATAACGTCCCCCAGATTGTTTTTCTTTTGTTACCGGCTGCCGAATAAAGAAATAAAATACATCCCATTGCAGGCTGTATTTGCTGCTGAAATGTCAGTTCTCGGATGCTAAGCAGAAGTGAACCAGCATAGTGCATGGATAGTACATAGATGGGCGACCAAGCACAACAGGCGTTATTGGCTGTGGGACTACTTCTGTAGAATTTCCACAAATGGCTCAGGGCTGCAAAAAATTACATGATTATGCGTAATGCACCTACCGCAGCCATGCAACGAATTTACACGATTGAAGCTCACTATTTGATGCAAGAAAAAATTGTCTTATTTTCTGTCCGTTTGTACAGCATCCATTCACTTCAACATAACACGAGCTTATCGTTTGCATGTCTTTTGCACGTCTTTTGCACAGGTCGTAAATGATAATTGTTGTAAACGCACGATCCCACGCGTACATTGTACATGCTGCTGCGCCTCTGCTGCTGTGGCAGGTGTTCCCGTGTTCTGGTGGTCGGCGGAGGCCGCGCCGGCCCTGCTTCCCGTGTGGGAGAGCTACATTCTCGTCTTGGAGACGCTGGAAGAGAACCAGGTGAGGGGCGGGGGGCGAGGTCGCACGGCGCTCGCGCCTGCTGAGATTGAAGCTGCCGTGGCTCGGTGTGACGCCGGATGGCGGTTTGCCGGATCCTCGCGACTCATGCTTTTTTTATTTTTGCGCAGCTCCACGTGGTGAAGCCGGTGCTGCCACGACTGCGCGCGCTGGTGGAGGCGACGGTGGCGCCTGGAGCAGGTGACCGTTGCAGCATGAGACACGGGGCACGGGTGGTCATCCATCACGTGATCCGTGACACAGGGCTGTGTAAATCAATCATGGATTATCTCTCATGTCTAATGAGAGATGTCATTGTTTGCATGACAGCTCTCATTAGACAAGTAACTATTCACTTGAGTGCGATTGTATGAATTGTCAGGATTTGGGTCACTGATTTATTCCAGAATGTTTTTCTATTGTCTTATTTTGAATATTCTTTCCCATTTGCTCTCTCATTTGCAGAGTTTTGTTTGCCCTATTAGCCTGAATGTTCAACATGTGATGCAGCACGCCATTGCCAGACTTCTCGTCTGCAGCTGTAAATTAGACCACATTCCCACTGATTTTGTACAGTGTTTTGACATGCATGTAGACGCTATATAAGTCCTAATTGTAATTGTGTTAAAATGTACATATATTTTGCATGACGTTCCAAGAATTAACTTCTTACACGTACACTTTCATCCTGAACGTAAGAATCAATGGACGTACAGTTAACGTGCTCCTCCCTTAATAAGGACGCAGAAGGTGCATTTCATCGGTGTGGTAATCCCTGTATGGATGGTGATGATGATGATGATGTTGTGAACGGTGTTTGGTGCAAAGGGCGACCGCGAGCGGCGCTCGCATCGTCGTGGCTGTGCGTGGCGCTGGGCCGCGTGTTCGACAGCGAGAACAAGATGGTGCTGCGTGAGGGCGTCAAGCTGTGTCTCTCGCTGGACGTGACGCGACGACCCTCCCTGGGGCAGCCGTTTCTAGAGGTGCCGCCCCCCCCCCCCCCGCCTGGCCGCCCCATCACATTGTAGCGTCTTAACCCTGCATCTTGAGGATCGCGATACGTATGTATGTATTTGAACGTGTTTTCGCACCGTACGTGTGCATTGCAGTGCACCGTACGTAGTCAACCGTGCTAATCGGAGGTGCGGGGGAAGGACAACAAACTAAACACAAGAAGCAATTAGAAAGAAATGAGTTTTCAATCTGGCTTCCTAATATCGGAAGAGCATTCCAGATGGCCGCAGAAGCGCATCTGAAAGCATGCGATGCGATGACCGTATTTGTGTGTGCGAGACCGTGCGCTGTGTTGTCATATTTCCACGCACCTGCCTTCGCTGTACGTGGTCGACCAGTGTGTGTTAATTAGTTTAGTATATTGGTTTTCCTGTAAAGTGCATTGCAGTGCACTTCCATAAAAGAGACTTTGTTATTTTACTGGTGTGGAGAAGTGGCACAGTGATTTGCGCATTGCACTATGAACCCGAGTTCGATTTCTGGCTTCTGCTAACATCAGTGATGAGTGATATCAGAGCCAGTTCTCAGCCACTTTCAGTGTGGTGAAGAGACCATTGTGGTGAAGTATGATCAAGAACCCTTCATGACTGATACAGTGACAAAGGGATACAATTAGAAGTGGTGTATTTGTTATATTTTCTCCTTTTTTTCAGAAGATATTTTCTTTGTGTGTGGTGAAAAATGTTCGCATGAGGTACATTTTCCTGTTTTCTTGCAGTTTATTTGTGGCCCACTCATGGACGCTCTCTTGGACATCAACCTGTACCAGAGGTAGGCATCTGTCTTTTACGTGACACTGCAGTATAGTTCATAGCTGTGACCAAGCTTAAAAATTCTTGCGAGTGAAAGCAACAATAATTCCCTTAACGTGAGTATTATCCTCTTTGTTTTAGCCCGTCCGTATGGTTCGTTGCCACGGTGGTCTTGAGCCCTGTCTTGCGAGAAGTGTGAGCAATGAGCAGCAAATAGAGTGCAGCGGTGTTGCTGCTCCCGTTGCCGTGCTGGGTGTTGAGGAGAGCATCGGCGAGGTTGGCGGTCGGCTCGCGTGTCCCGGGTTCTAATCCATGCAGCCGCCTGCGATTAAAGACGCGTTTCTCAAAATTACAGCTCCGAGAAGTAAAAATATCGGTCAGTTTGCGATGCGACAAATTTTACTCTCAGTGGCAGAGTGGGTGGGAAAATGCTGCCCCCTTCAGTGTGAAGCAGGAGCCATTTTTAAGGGATCTCAGAGGAAGCTCTGTGATATCCGCTTCCATGGGCCATTCTCCAGAAGGAAGCGTTGCACTTTTTGTCTCACGACGCCAAGGACACAATCGGGATGACATTGTAAAAAAAAATAAGAGCAAGATCATTGGCAAAGACCCACGAGCTACTGCCGGAGAAACTTGCGTGGTCTGCAAAAGGTGGTGGGTGGCGTATGTACATCTGTATGTTGAACTTCTTTCACACCGTACGTAGCCCATTGTGCTAATCGGAGTGTGACTCGTCTGGTGCCCTTCTGTGTTCCAGATGTGCGGGGCAGCCCATCGGATCGTGTCCGGCCATCGGCTGTCTCCTGGAGACGTTTCTCCCTTCTTGTGCTGCTGCTTTGCCTGTCCAGAGGAGAGGTATGGCGAGTTGTATTGGTCTTGCACTAATGTTCGTATTTATTGGCTAGCGATAGGAGATTCACGACACCCACGATTTGGCACTTGTCCCATGATGGGAGATGCACTGGAATACGGGGGATCTTTTAAGTTGACCGACAGGGGAACAGAGTGCTTGTGTTAAATGAAAGTTGATATATTACAGTTTGCTTAAATATCCCATATCTCATCAAGTTTGGAGTCAGCTTTAGAAAATTGTTAGAAAAAAGCACGACTCAAAAACAAATCTGGATTTTTCCAACGAATACACAGTTCAATAACGTGGGTTTATTTTATTTCAACACTTCTTTTAAATTTTAGTTTTGTACAGTATCTTAACTTACATGGCTCGTCGCGGGCAACATGAATTACCCTGTGAAACGCTTCCGGGTGATCTTGCACGAGGGACGCTTCGTAGGAATTACTTCATCGTTATTGCCGCTTAGGTCACAGGCAACAGGATTGTCTAACGGGAGTCGGCCGCCGCTGATTGCTGCGCTTTCCAGGCGCGTTCCTGCTGCAGGCGCTGAGCGGGATCGTGCACCGCCACTGGAGCACCGTGCCCCTCCTCTTCCTGTCACGGGCCCTGGCCGCCGTCCCAGCGTGCCCCGCGTGGGGGCCCGAGGGCCTTCTCGTGCTCAGGTGAGGCCTGGCAACCGAGGCGCGATTTGCGGACGCTGCCGTCTTGTGATGGGTCTAGCGCACTGGACTTGTGTGTAAGCATTCGCCGCTGGGGAGACCAAGGCGGCCAGGCGTGGTGTTTGCTACCCGTCCGCTCGTGTGCCATGCCGGCCTTCGTAGGTGCTCGCCAACAGCATTTGCCCCCACGGTCTGTTTAGGCTATACGGAGGATCTTTGTCTTTGTAGGGAGGTGGTGCGCTGCGTTCTGACGACGCAGCAGGTGCTCCTGCGGGGCGCCGCTCAGTGCTTCCTGCTGCAGGCGGCCGTGCGCCTCACCGACTCGGTAATGCCCGCCACAAGTGACAAATATCGCACGGGAAAATGTATCTTAAACTAGCCGCCTGTGCCCACATCGTCCGCTGTGCGCCCGATCTTGTCACGTCGCGGGAGCTCAGCAGGGCTGAGCTCGGCCGGCGCTTGGTTGGGTGCTCACCGTGCGCAGACAGGTTGCCATCGGGGTTCCTGGGGCTCATCCAGGAGGGGGGTTAAGTCTTGTGGGATATTTGATATTTCCTTTGCAAGGGGTGATTTACACGAGGAGAAATCAACGCAAGAACCTATAGAAAACTGCCATCTCCTTGCCACCTTGTAACATCCCCTGTGAAGCATGTGTTGGATGGACACAGAGCTCGAACCGTGAACCTCTGCAATAAACGGCCAACCCACGATAACCACTCGGCCACGTGACCGCCGAAGTGCTAGGCCGCAGGTGTCGACCACCAAACCTGTTTAAAGAAATGCGTGCGATATGTGAAATGCGGTTTTGCATAAAATGTTTCTGTGTTACTGTTGCGCTGATGCGTTTGTGCCCGGTTGACGCGCTACGCGGTGACGTGCTGCCCGGTGAAGAGTCGCGTGAGCCTGGGCGATGTCCTGGCGCTGCTGGCGTGCGTTCGTGAGGACGAGGCCCTGGGCCGGGGCACCACCCTCTGGGCTCAGGTGGGGGCCCTCCTGGAGTGGCCGTTTTTGGCTGCCGAATCCTTCTTGCTGAGAGGCGTTGCGGTACAGCGGAGGCCTTCATCTCAGGGCTCATAAGCCACATGTGTGCCGGGAATGGTCTTGGGGTGGGCCGACCAGCTATGGTCCTTCGAGAGATATGGCTCGCCATGACATAGAGAGATACAGATGAGTGAGGCGACAGATTCCTGTATGAATCACCCACGGTGGAATGGTAGGATTTTAAAAACATGTCCTCCAAGATTGGCAGCATCATTATCATCGTCACTATCCTTCACAACTAGCACTAATTATCACCATCATTTTACCATGAGCATGAATCATCATCACCGTCATTCACCACCACCATTAATCATCATCATTAACCATCAGCACTAATCATCACCATCATTCATCATCAGCTACATCCGTGATTATCCCCGCTGGGTGTACACCTGGAGGTGTGACGTGCGTGCCCCCCCCACCCCCCCAGGTGTGCGAGTGGCTGCGTGTGAACGACTCGGAGTTCGCGCCCTGTGACGTGGTGGGTGCCGCCCCTCCCGCAGCTTCAGCGACCGCTCTGAACCGGTTCACGCTTCACTCCATCGGAACCTTCCTCAAAGTGCCGGCAGATGAAGGTAAACATTGAACCTAAATGCTCCCGAAAGCAAACCAAAGCAACGTAATCAGGTTTTGATTGCTGGCAAGGAAAATAAAAAATTCCGGTCCAGATGCCATCATTAGCAACAACTTTGACACGATCCTTGGGGTGTCACAGCCACGTCTCATCTTGCCGCTGATCCCGGTTGTGGCCAAGCTCGCGCTGAGAGTCGCGACCGCGCTCTCGACAAAGGGGGTTCTGCTAAAGTGACAGCATGAACAATGAGTGACCGCTCGTTAGACGCACAATTCATTGCGTGTGTGGTGTGGAGCTGGAGAGAGGAGGATGGGTGTTGGCTGGTGAACCCCGAGACAAGTTGTGCGTTTGGCAACCGTGCCGTGCGCCCCATTCCTCCGTGCCACCAGCAGGGGGCGAGGGGGCGCTGCTGCCCGACCCGCAGGAGTCGCACCGCGTGGCGCTCACGATCCTGCTCACTGCTGACGTGGATGCCGGCGCTCCGCCTCGCAGGTGAGGCCCCCGTCGCTTCAAACGGGCAGGGAAGGCGCATTGAGGGGCGTTGCCGAAGAGGGATTCAATGGCTCACTGGACTTGCAATCCAGAGGTCATCGACGTGAGTCGACCTCCCCACGCGGCAGTTGAGACGATGGGGGCACCTTCCTCGGCCCTCCCTACCGCCTCGGTCCACCGAGCAGCGTGGATGGGTACACCACGATCGAGCGGCAGGTCGCGTGCGGTGGAGTAAAGTGTGGGTGCTCCCAGCTCTTCCAAGACGTTTGAATAGTGTGGATGAATACCCTTCAGAGGCGATGTCTAGAGCTCCCTCTAGTGGAAGCCCTTCTGCCAGCAGTGGAGTGAGTGAGTAATTGCAGGACTGTACCTCTACCTTTTTTTTTCTATAGGAAAGCAATATTTCAACATGAGCTTCACTCTAGCAGCCGGTCACTATCAACGTTTTTGTGCGCTGGCTGTTCCAGCGATTGCTCTCGGCCTGGCGAGGCTGAGCCGCTGGCTGAGTTCCTGGCGCCCCTCACGGACACGCTGCGACGGCTGGGCTCGCACGCCTACCTGCCCCGGGCCAAGGCCGACCGCGCTCTGCTGCTGCTGTTGGCGCTGCTGCGGAAGACTGAACCCAGGGGCGGAGCGGAGCATGCTGGGAATGGAACAGGCAAGGTTTATCCATTGGTCTCTCCAAACAAATACAAAGATCCCCCGTGTCGCCTTAACAGACTTTTGGGGCAAGCGCTGTTAGCGAGCACCTATGAAGGCCGGCACGGCACACGAGGGGGTGAGTGGCCAGCACCACTCCCAGCCGCCTTTATCTCCTCAGTGGCTATTGCACCAGGTACAAATTTTGAGGCCGGGTCGACCTAGGGGAGGCCCAGGACCGGTTCAGATTATCGTCACTGGTGTTGGCTGTGAGCGGGAATCAAACTCTGGTGCCTAGTCACCGCTCCGCCATTGGTCTCTTCTCCACCAGAGGGTGCAGCGCCCCGTTAAAGAGGCCGGCTTGCGTGGCAGTCGTGTTCTAATCTTTAGTGGGTTGTGACTAATTTAATCCATTTATTGAAACCTGCACAGTTGGCACTGCGGTGTTTTTACACATTTGTGCATGGGTATGCTGTGTTGGTGCTGCTTGCATTCGAGCGGTGGTGTTTGTGTTTGATTGTTGAGCATGCTGTGTCGTGTAGCTTTGGTGCGGGATTATTTTTACCGTGCTCACGTTTGTTAGCATTGTGCTCGTGTTCTCGGTACGATGCGCGTGGCCCAGTGGGTATCAGCACAGTCCTCCTCTTCGTCACAAATGCTTGAGCGAATGCGTGCACGTTTGTTTATATATGGGCATCCTTGCATGTGTGTGCTTACATGTGTGGGTGTGTGTGCTGCAGACACGGTGCGCTCCGTGCTGCGTGATGCGGCGCAGGCCTGCGCCGAGGGCTTGTTGCAGTACCTGCTGCGGCAGCTCACCTACGAGACGGAGCAGGTACAGGGGGCCATGGAAAGATGTCAGTTCCTGGGTTCGGCTCCTTGTAAGAGACTTGCATGTTGAACTTCTTTCGCATCGTACGTAGCCGTGGTGGTGGTCGTAGGGACTTGGGTGGTTGTGATTGAAATGCGCGATTTCAAATAAGCCATCAGTCAATGACAACAGCCGCAAATATTAGCAATCTCTTTTGAACATATTATGCACTTCCATTGTAATAAATTATTGTACCCATGGTGGCGAGGTGTTAACTACCTTGCCGGGTATACAGGAGGTCGTGGGTTCGATCCCGACCCTGACGCCTGCTGTATATTTGGAGTTTGCGTGTTCTCCCTGTAGTCACTTGGATTTGTCTCCAGGTCTTCCGGTTTTTCCCCCCACTTAAATTCTGGCCAGGTCACTTCTGAAAAAGAGATATATAGCTCATTGGGCCTTACCTGGTAAAATAAAATAGTTTTTGGGCTGTATGAATTATGGATGTGAAGATTTGCTCCCGCGCCCCATCCCCGCCGCCTGTGCCCACGCTCATTACCGCGGCCGCCGGTACCCGCCCCTCGCCCCACCGCCGCGCAGGAGCGTGACCTTGAGCGCGCTGACCTCCACCTGGACGTGCTCACGGCCCTCGTGCGGGTCCTCGGCGAGGGCCCTCCGGGGGTGGCGCCGTTCCTCGTCGACTTCATCTCTCGCCTCGTCCGCGCCTCGCTCGAAACCTTGCAGGGACGCCCTGAGGTGAGGGCCTTTTTGGAAGCATTGAACTTTTCCCCTTTGCAGTGTTTCTCTTTATTGAACGTTGAAATGTCAGGGAATGACGATTGGTAAACTTCGGCACTTTGGGCAAGCGGCCTCTCGCTTCTCCTCGGTTGACCCTGCCCGCTGGGTTCTCCCTGAGCTAGAGAACCTCGTCGGTGGAGGAGGCCGGTGAACTGGCCACATCAATTCGACCCTTGCCGTCGAGACTCGGGAATAAGGAAGGGCGCTCACCATTTGGTCGCGCCTCTCTGTGCAGGAGGCGCAGACCGCCCCCCAACTTCTCCAGCGAGCGGTGGCCGCGGCGTCCCTGGCGTGGACGTGCGGCGTAGTCGCCGCGACCCCTGACCTCCGGCGGGGCTGCCGTGCCGCTCTGGAGGCCGCGGCGCGCCACATGACCTCCGCGCCCCTCAACCAAACGTTGGCGCGGCCCACAGGCACGCTCGCCGCACGGTACGTCCGCCCCGTCACGTTGCTTCCGGAGGTAAAGGTGCAGCCCCTGTATGTGCTTGCTCGTGCTGCTGCTGGGAGAAGGGCCTCCGTTACAAGGAGCTCGAGAGGGCCCCTCTCAAGGATATTTTTGGCCTCCCCTTCCACACTGGCCAGACGTCTTGTAAGAGGTGTGAGAAGCCACATTCACAACGATACACGGAACTGCCGTTCCCCTAACTATGGTGTACCTATTCATGGGTGGACACAAGCTGAGGGATTTAAGAAACATGCCCATTTCTTTTACTGCCGTGCCGGGAGATAGAGCCGGCGACCTCTGGGTTGCAAGTCCAGCGTGCTCATGCAAAGTGCGCACGATTGCAGCCCCGTGGCCTTAAGTGGTCCAAGCAGAGGGCAGCCTGGTCGACAACAACAACAACACCGTGGACATGATTCGTCGTGTGGAGAAATCATTGTTTACGTGAGGCTGCTAGGGAATTAGCCAGGAAGGGGCTCAAAGGAGACCTGGCATAGGCGGGGTCGCTTTGGGTGGCGAGCGCCTGGGTTTTGTGCTGAAGGACTCGCCTAGAGCAGATGGTGTGGGTGCAAAGAGGCTGGAGATAAAGTCCCAAGCTGCCGTTGTCAGTGTTGTCAATAATGTGTTTATGCCGTGAATGCCAAGGTTATAATTAAAGCGTGATTGAAATCTAATCAACACTGATACTAAGGTTGCTTTTCCATTGTACTATTCAGTCGGGAGCAGTGGCGAATGGTTATCACTCTGCTATGAACCGACTGACCTGAATTCAATTCCCAGACACGGCTAACACCAGCGGCGAGTGATGTCAGAACCGGTTCTGGGCTCCTCTGACCAGCGTGGTGAAGTATGGTCAAACAACAACTCGTGGCTGACGAGGCATGGGCAGACGGGGGCTGGGGTAGGTCTTCATCCAGCAATGGATTTACAAAGAGCTTTATATTATTGTGGTTTCGTACGGCTTCTCGCTGTGGTGCGGATGTGATGCGTGGTTCCAGGTTTACGGATGGGTGCACAGGGACATTAGCTTGGCACCGTTTCTCTTGGAGGCAGGGGGCCCTTTAACCACAAAGTGCTCATCCTAGAGGGTCTCACTCCCTTTTTGGAAAAGGAGGGGGTTTTTTTCGCCATTAAATTTCACTTTTGGCAGTAGAATAAAAAAAACACTGGCTGTTGGTGTCCAATGTTTGCGTGATGAACACTTTTCTTGCCAGCGTGGGAATCACGATTGAAAGCTTTAAATCTGGCGATGTTTTCCCCTCTGTCGCTGTCAGCATGTGTTCTCAACTCACTGACAGCGTTGCTCGTTACGCACAATGGGATTAATTTGCTCGCCGTAAGTGTCGTGCAGTTTCCTTTGCCTCAGATAAATAATTTATTGCAGATTGTGTTTTATTATGATGGAAGCTCCTTACTACAAATTATACAGTGATATTATTTACTGGATAATTTTCTACTTGGTCTTTATTTTAATTTTTACGCAGGAAAGCCTCGCTGAGAATTAAAACTCTTCTTCGTGGGGGGGTGGGGGCGGGTTCCTGCAAAAATTGTGCGGTAAGGGGCGATGTTACTTGCTGGAATGTCAATTGAGTAATTTTTTTTCAGCATTGGAATATTTGGCTGTGGCGGAAATTGGAGAATTCGGTGGATACCCACCCCGAACAGGGGTAGAGCATACAAGCTGCGCACAGAGGCGCCTCAGGTGGCACGAGTGTTACCACTTCGCTTGCCGCACTTCGAACCCTGGATTCCCGTTTGTGCCATCATTGGCCAATATTGAGAGTTTTCGCGACATAATATCACTACACGATAACAAGTATTATTTATATCTCCTTGACATCTCTTAAACCCGTGGGCTGCATTAACACAACATTGGTACCTGGTATGAACAGGCTATTGCCTTGGTTGTGAACTGCCGGGTAGGCATCAGGCTTGGTTATTGTAAATCTTTCGCACTGTGCACAGTGCTGCCAAAGATCGAGAGCTCGTGTTGGGCACAACAATGCGTGCTCGCACAAAGAAGGCTACAAGTCTCCAATGAGTCGCTGCCCACTCCTGCATGGCAGTTGTTTGACTATACTTCACCTGGTTCCAATATCACTCGCGGCTGATGTTAGTTATGCATGGTTGGGTATCAAACTCAGATCGTAGCCTCATGTATATACGGATTCTAAGCACGAAACGATACTTTCACACCTTCGTCAATAACGATGCCCTTAAAGGAACAATTCCCTGTATATATAATAGGTGATTTTTGAGCAGTGAAGGTCTCTGCTTTAAAAACAAACAAAATGTTAGTGTAGATGATGTTGGGTTGTGTTCTTTGCGCACCACTGCTGATGTGGAACACACAATTCTTTTGTTTGAGTCGAAAAGGGAGAGCCTTATTGTAAAATCCGACGGACGTTGTGACATTCCAGTGTCTCATGCACCATTGACCTTTTGGCCGACAGACGCAGCTTATGAATATAGATTAGTCGTGGTCGGCTCAACATGAATGAAGGATTATTTGTTTTTGTCAGTGTGTGCAAATTTACTTTAGCTACAAGGTGTTGAATATTAGTTTTAATTATTGTAATGAAGCCTCAGGAAAAGGTTATTCCACTCCCTTTTACCGGCATGCTTTGTCATGAGATGCAGGTTAAGTTAGTCGACTGAAGTTAAACACACATACAGATAATACTGCCGTGTTTGCTCACTGATGTGGCCATGGTGGCGCACGCCTGTGAAGGCAACGGTTGGTGGATCGCGCAGATTTGTGAAACTCCCAAGTCCACCGGACTGCCTGTAGCTTCGTTAACCTTTCCGTGCGGACCATTGTTGCAAGTATTCCCGTTTCCCTCCCACGTGGAAAACATTTCCTCAAAAGGAATCGTCCAAAAAGAGTTTTGAGACTTTGCTGGGTAATTGTTCAGGGTCTATAAATTCCCAACAATTGAGGTTGATTTCCTTGGTTCATCGTTTACCGGCTCGTCAATGTTTTTCGAGCATTTTCTGTCTTTCCGTTTTCCACGATGTTATTCGCTCCGTTAGCATAAGTGTAGCGTATCATTTGTAGATTGTCATCTATTCATACATGCATGTTTCGATATATATTATGCATGTAAGAATTGAGTTTAATCCATGAATCGGTTCACTTTTGCATGTGTATTAAATATATTAATAAAATTCTTATTTTTTTTCGCATTGACCTTGCTGTCATTTGCGGATACAACGACGCCGCTCCACTACTCGTGTGTCTACGCGATGACCCCTACGAAATTGACGCCAGCGTCTTCAAAAGCGGCATTGACTCGGCTTGTTGGAGGAAACGTCGTCTGCAATTTTGCCGAGCCTGCGCTGTCCTTGCGCGCTCAATTTTCGCGATAATTGTGTCATTGTGCCCAATTCAGTTTTATGATGGCGTTAACAATATAAAGTCTTCGGGCTTTGAGACGCGGGCCTCTGTTATAAATTGCGTTATATATACGATATAACGCAACTCAGCGTGGCGCTTACGCGTTTCTTTCTGCCCACGCCTGCCCTAGGCCTGAAGACGGCGGCGCCGGCGGGCGTGGCTGGGGCCGCGTGGCCGCCCGTTTCATCGGCGATCAGTGGCGGTGCCACTACCACACGCTGAGTGGCCGAGAGGACCCGGCGAGGACCACGCTGATGCCGCTGCTGCGCGGCTGCCTGGAGGCGCTGGCGCTGCTGCCCGCGGACAGCGCGCTCGCCGTGCTGCGCTGCCTGCAGCCGTTGCTGCCCCGGGTGAGTCGTGGGGTCGGGCGGTGGACGCCAGATCCTCGCGTCAAAGGAGCGCGGGTGCGCTGCCCGTCTCCGCTGACGTTCCCGAGACCGGTGATGGAAATTCCACGTTTCTCATTGGAGAGCCGCGGCAAAACAACTCTTGACCTCGCACAGAATGGTACTCATTTTATCGATCCGGCAGGGATGATTGGCTTGAAATCAACAGTAGCTGTCTGTGGATGGATTGTTCCCTGGCAGTATCAATTCATTTTTTACATCATGATCTCGTACCTCTAGTTGGCAGCAGAATTTGCTTGAACCAGCTACATGAAGCATACACTCATCGAAAATAATCGATTCTTATACAATTCCGTGCGTGAGTCGTGAGCGTAATAATCAATCTTAACCGACGAATCGTGCCAGATGTGCGACGACAGGGAGGGCGGCGACGACGTCGAGGGGGCGACGGAGGAGGAGGCGAGCGAGGCCCGGTTGGGCCTGTGCGAGCAAGCCCTGCAGCTCGCCTGGAAGACGGTGCGCGACCTCGGCAACGACCCGCAGGCGTTCTGGCCGGCGCTCGGCGCCTTCGTGCGAGCGGCGTTCGCTCGGCGGCTGTTGGCTCTCCGCGTCGACGACCCCGTCGCAGGGCGGCTCGCTGGCGCCCTGGCCCAGGTGAGCGGCACAGCCACCACGCGGGCGCCCGGGAGCCGGCGCAGGCTCAATCGCTCGTTACTCTTTGAAGGAAGAAAAATGTCATTCTCTTCTTTCGTAACCCGCCACGTTTATTGATCGAGTTTGATCATGCGTGAGCTTCGGTTCGGACTCAATTTCCCATGCGAATCTTATTCGTGTGGACCACAGTCATGTGTTGGCGGAAAGAAAGCTTTTCCACCGATATCAAGCATTAGTTGTGGTATCTTTTGATGGGGCGGGGGGGGGGTTTCGATCCAAAGAATTGACATGAACGCCTTTCGTCTGATACACGAGTCGTGCCCATTGTTTCGCTTCACACCGTTGGATATTGAGGTTAGCGTTGATATAAATGCTCAGCGGAAACGTGCGCCACTTTTGTGCGTGGAGCCTCGTGGTGTGGTGTTTGGGGGGTGGGGGAGGGGCACGATGGGAGCAGGTGGAGCGGGGGGGGCGTGTCGTGTCGCCGTGCTTGTGGATGCAGCTCGGCCTCGGGCGGCGGCGTCGTGACTTCTTCCGCATTGACTTTGAAACGGGATAAAAATAAATTCAATTTAGGTCGCCTTAGTCACGGCGTAACTTGATGATACGCCCACCGCACAACAGAAACATGCCTGAATGCTGCGTTTAATGGATGTCCTCGCCACCTCAATTGAATGGGATCTTGTCTGCCGTTATGAAGAGACGGCGTGACGCTTAAAAAGGAAACAACCTTCAGTCGTTCTCCTTGACCTCGTTCTCGTAGCTTGGCACAAACTCGCTCGCAAGTGCCCGCTGGAGTAACCGCGGAGCTCTTCAAGTGTTGTCGTGCGAGCATTGTGGGTAATGTACGTATGTTGAACTTGTTTCGTACCGTACGTAGCCAACCGTGCTCATCGGAGGTGTGGGGAATGTGCTGTCGGTGCCGAACCGTGCATCCGCGTCGCGCGTTAAATACAAATCGCGGGATGTACGCTCATCAGAAACGTGACAAAACGTGTGTGCAGCTGTCGGGCGAGCTCGTGAGGATGGCCGAGACCAAGCTGGGTGTCTTCAACGTCCTCGTCACGCACTGCTGCCAAACATGGCTGCCGCCCTACGGAGGACCCCCCGAGGGAGGCGAGGAGGCATCCTCCGTGGAGGATGCCTCCGTGGAGGATGCCTGCTCCAGCGCGCTCAACCACGTGACCTTGCTGGCAGAGGCCGTTCTTTTTGGGCCTGTCTTCAGGAAAGAGCAGCGGTAAGGGCATCGGTGTGCAGGGTGACCAAGAAAATTAAACTAACCGCTACCTTATTAACACCGTTGACAGCAGTGGAAATTGGGTGGGGATCCGAGCAAAAGCTCAAATTATGAAACCAACCAAGTGAGACAAGCCAGACCAATACGTGAGCCTGGTTTACCGTGTTGTGAAGTCGCCGTTGCGATTGACGAGTTGGCGGATCAGCATTTAAAGCCTGTGGAGTGCTCGGATTTGTTTATTCGATCGGCTGTGGCAAGACGGAGTGTCACAGCAGCATTAAGTGGCACCTCTGCCAGCGTGCGCGCAGCACCCAATGTTTTTTCTGTGTCATGCTTGTCCTGTCATCATCATCATCATCGTCGTTGGTCAAATATAATCGGTCCCCTGCTGGATGAAGGCTTTCCCAATCCATCATGGAGCAATCCGTCGAGCGCCCGAGCTGATTTCATCACTGGGGAGACAAAGGCGGCCGGGCGTGGTGTTGGCCACCCACTCCCTAGTGTGCCGTGCCGACCTTAATAGGTGCTCGCTAACAGCACTTGCCCCAACAGTCTGTTAGGGCTAAACGGGGCATCTTTGTCTTCGTCTCGTGCGTGAGTGCAGGGTGTTGAACGACGCAAACTCCTTCGTGGAGAAACTGGGCGAGGGCTGCGCCGCCAACGCCGTCGTGGCGTGCAGGTCGGTGCCCGCGTGCGGCCGCTCCCCTCGCGAAATACAAGACGATCCATCTGCAGATATCCCACTCAATTCTGTTGGGCCCTCTTGACTTTCTCCTACTGCAAAGAGGAGTGATTGGATATGGTAAAAGCGATGGCACCGCGTCGCCTGACTTTTCCCCACTGAATGTTTTCTTGCGGGGTTATTGGTCAATGACTGCCTGCATCTACACCCCAAAAAACCTCGAGATGTCACTGGCTGTGGTGGACAAAGTGCATGCTGGGAGAGTGTTAGAACATTCAATAAGCTACATTGAGCTCGATGGGAGGTATGTAGAGGCTTGAGATAGAAATGTTTTTTTTCTATAATTTATCGTATTATATTAGTGGGGTATCATCGAGCCGGTACCGCTGACTTCCTTGGGCTTGAGCGCAGGTGGCAGCAGGAAAGGTGTGCGTCCAATCTTGCCAGGTCTCAGAAGGTATGCCACACTAGAGCCTGGATCAGCCTTTGTCAAGATGATCACCGGGCACCCAACAGCAATGTTGTCATACTGCGTTGGCACTGGTGCACATGCGCACATATAAAAACTCAACACGTTCGTGTTATTGACGACTGTGTTGAGGTTTTGCATAAAACAGGTATGGGCTTCTGCGGCGTGGAAGAGTAGGCCAAATATTCTTCAGAACGGCTCTCTAAGAGCGCCCGCTCATGGAGTCCCTATCGCCAGCAGCGGCGTGACCGATAGACAGCAAGGGCTGCCCCGGCCGCAGGGCGCCGCGTAGCTCCGATGTTCCTCCGAAGGGCTACATTCCCGGAACACTTCACCCCCCGTGCCCGGCGTCCACAGGCAGTGGGTTGCACGCGCGGAGCGGTGCGCGCCGCCCTGTGCCTTCCGCACACGTCTCCGCGAATGTCAAGTGGCTTGTCGCTCGGCGCTCTCCCCATCTCGGCGTAGCGCTCGCTCCCACGGAGGTGACGCGCGCTCACGGGAGTGGCTTGTTTTTGCGCGGTGAATTAATTTCTCTCCGGAGAAGTAACCTCAAGGGCCCCGAGTGAGGAGGCACTTGGCCGGGGTCTCCGTGAAAGGCCGGACGATGACTTGGAGGTGACCTGTTTTTGTGTGCGGCCTGTCTCAAGCACTCGCGGTAAAATGCAAATATTCTACAGCTTCTTATTTTCGTCCTTTAATTGTGGGAGTGAGTGACACTGACCTGTAAGGAATGCAATTACATTCTCCCTGTGTATGTGTGAAGGAGCAAAAAAAGAAATCCGTGAAAATCTGTAAACATTTCCATCAAATTGTATTTTGTTTAAAATATAACACGGTACGGCCAACTTACAAGACAAACGTGCGCATAATGTCGTTTTCAGTCACAGTGTGCTCACAAGGTATAAAATGCGACGAACATGTAATATCTAATTAGGAATGGGCGTAAGCTTAGCTTGCGGTTGGACCCCATTGACATGCAACATTTGTCTTGCCGTGGTTATTTTGCACTCTTGCACAGCAATGGGATTTTTTTATGCATTTATGAAAGGTGGGACAGATCAAGTAAGTTCACGTTTGCATTCTCTGCAACAAGTGGTGAACGTGCTTCTGCTAGGCCGCGTCACAATTCAGATATCAGTAGCGAGTGATATCTGACTCGGTCCTAGGCCCAGCCTCGGCCTTACATGTGCACTGTGTAAACATCAGAGTATGTTGTGTGGGTTGGCTCGGCCCAAGAATGTGTTTATGGCACAGTGTGTATACGTCAGAACTGGGTAGACAAAGGTGGCTGGGCGTGGTGGTGGCCACACCACCCTCTCATGCTGCAGCAGCCTCAGTAGATGTTTGCGAACAACACTTATTTTATATTCTTGGTTCTTTCGGTAAAGTCACGTAGAAGGGAAGTAATAAAATAATATAAATATAAAAAGTAGATATTTTTATTTATTTTATTATTTCCCTTCTACGTGACTTTACTGAAAGAACCAAGAATATGAATCCCTGCAGTCACGAAAGCTTTAAATCAAAATGTAACACTTATTTTGTTTTGTATCCGAACTTTGTTTTGCATCCGCACATATTTGTTGATGTGTCCATGCTCATATGAGGACCAGTGGCAACGTTGTTAGTGCACTGCGCTGTGCACTCAGTGACTTGAGTTCGATTTCCAACTACAGCTAACACAAGTGAAAATCGGTATCAGAATTTGTCCTGGGCCACCCCTAGGTTTACTCAGTTTTAAATAATTCCCGGTGCGGTGCATAAGCATCATCGCTGGGTTAGAAAAAGGCCGCCACGCGGGCGTTAGCCACACCACCCCTCGTACGCCGCGCAGGGCTTGATTGGTGCTCGCTAACAGCACTTGCCCCAGTAGTCTATATGGCTAAATTTGGAATCTTTGTCTTTTGCGCATGCTCATTCATAATGCCCAGCGAGAGCAAGGATGATTACATGGTTCGAGTGACGGCCCTGGGCTTCCTGCACAGCCTGAACCCAGCCAACCCAACACAGGCAAAGCTCAGCCGCGCCGTGCTGCTCGCACTGCTGGAGAAGGTAGCACACCACCTCCACGTCACCTCCACGATCACAATCTCACCACCTCCTCCACCACACCACCTCTGTAGTCACACCACCTTCACGACCACAACACCTCCACGACCAGACCACCTCCGCATCCACACCACATTCACATCACCTCCACGTCTACATCACCTCCGCGTTCACAACCTAAGCACCTCCATCACACCACCTCTGCAACAACACCACCTCCACGACCACACCACCTCCACGACCACACCACCTCCACGACCACACCACCTCCACGACCACACCACCTCCACGACCACACCACCTCCACGACCACACCACCTCCACGACCACACCACCTCCACGACGACACGTGCTCACTGTTTTTGATATCCTTCATGAACTGGCCCCTGTCTACCTCTCGCTCTCCCATCTCATTCTGCTCCCCTCCCTCCCCATGCTCTCTCCTACATCTCACTCTACTTATAGTTGCATTTAAACGCCATATAAATCCAAAGGTTATTGTGATTGTATAATAATCCTATCAGGCTTCATGACACAGTCAGACGTTACTTACGACGGTCCATTGGAACCCAGCTGCAAATCACTTTATTTTGATTTGGATAAAATCAATCTTTCAAGTGATGGTCACCAGCTGGAGCGAAGACGCGAATGTCACTCTCGGTGCCGTCCGCGAGGCCGCAGCTGCCGAACGCCGCTGGCCGCGGGCCGGCGTCGCGAGCCCTTCACGCTCGTTCTCCCCGCTAACCCCATTTTGATCGCCGTCATTGACAGTAACGGCCGTAATTTTCCGCTGGTTGTTTTTGTGCCGCACGCACAAAGCAGCTTTGCTTGATTTGCAGCCCCACCACCTGGTGGTGTTTTTAAAATTTATTTCACCCCCCCCCCCCCCCCGCACGCGCCGTGCACGTGGCGCGAGTGGCTCTTGATGTTTTATTTAGTTTTTTGGGTTTCTGTTCGCTGCGCTTCTCCGCGCTCACAGGCTTCCCAGTGGACGGGGGAGGGGGGGCGAGCGGGGGGGGCGAGCGAGGCAGCTCGCGTGTGAGAATCCGGGCCGTTTCAACCGGGCCGGCCCGGCTTCGGCAAAGTGGCTCGTGCACTTATGCAGCAATAAAGTGCCCGGGCGTGGCTGTAAAATGCGAGCGGAGAGCGCGCGCAGAGCGAGAGGAGCGCGAGCGTCAGCCTTGGCCCGGCGATGGCGGTCGTTCACGCTGACTTGCTAAGGGGGCGCTTATTGCGATCGGTAAAAATTTATGGCCCTGACGTTTGAACTGTGGCTTGAAAATTACAAAATAGGGCCCAATTTATTTTATTTTCCAGATGGTGGTTATCTGATTCTTTTTATATATTTATTCATGCACACCGGGAACGCGGTGTCTACAGAGGGGCGGGGGGCCTTGGTTTTGGCCGGGTTCAGCAATGACCTGTGAAATCCGTTGCCTAACATTTTCAGTTTATCCTTCACTGCGTTGGAACAAGGGGGACGCGGATTTGAGATTGTTCAGTGTACAAAGTAAATTGAATGGTATCACATATAACACGGCTTTTGTGTTTAGTTTGCAAATCTCGTATATGTTTGTATGGATCCATTTATTTCTAATCTTCATATGTACATTAATGATACATTTTTTTTTGACATGTACTCACTCAGTCTTTCAGATCTATAAATATAGCGCGCCTTATACATTGTAAAACCCAATGCTGAGTACAAAGTTCAGTTTTATAATTTGGCCGTAATAGTCATCAATAGTAGGATCGATTGGTCAATCGTTACCTACGTATTGTTCACCCAAGGATCGATCGGTGGATCATTACGTACGTATTGTTCACCCAAGGATCGATCGGTAAATCATTACGTACGTATTGTTTACCCAAGGTTCGATCGGTAGATTGTTACGTACGTATTGTTCACCCAAGGATCGATCGGTAAATTGTTACGTACGTATTGTTCAGCCGGCGTTACTTCTACACGTCATCAGGGATCCTCCGATCACGACGTGGTGATCGTGATGCATCCGGCGCGTGATTTAACAATCGTCCGTGCGCTCGCTCACAAACAATGTCGTGTGTCTGTCACCAAGTAATTCTCCCAAATGGAGAAATTACATTGAATCACGTCGACGTAAGTCAATCCAAAATATGTTTTCAAAGCTGTTCCATAGCCTGATGCTGCTGCTTAAAAAACATAAATGACAACGACTGTGCTCGCTGAGCCTGGATGAGCGCTAACCCTCCCAGATTGCTCGCTGGTTTATTTCACAAATTGCCCACATTCCCCGGAATCTCTCCACCGACTCCCAATCCAGCCGCACATCAACGACGAGATCGCCCTCCCCGTCTCACGAGGTCCTACGTGGACTCGCCCCTTCCAACCTCTCTCCCTTCTCTTTCACTCCGGACTCTCCGCCACAATGGCCTCTCAATCGTGGTCGGCCTTCTCCGTTGATGTCCCAAAGCCTGGAGTTCTCTCACTGTGAACAAGCACGTGGCCCAGCCGATCGCTTTGTTCGAGTCCAGGCTTGTAGGTATGTTGAAGTTTTTTCGCACTGTACGTAGCCAACCGCGCGAACCGGAGGTGCTTCAGACCTTTTTCTTCTCATCTGCCCCGGTGTCTTGTTCAGTACAGAAGTGCTTTTTATTGCATCCTCCTCTGCCTCACTTCTCCCTTCAACCATACAAAAAATCTCTTCCCCCGTGATGCCATAACCCGCATATACGTTTATTTTATTACATACTTTATAACGTGTGGCTCCAATTGGACATTTAGTACATTTACAATGTGTTCTCTTCTTGTCTAAAGGGGGATTTGAGTGAAAACGGTGACATCTGTGCGAGGGTTATCATCCCATTGCTCCCGCGGTTCCGGTTCTCCGGGCCAGGTGTGGTAGTCCCGCGCGGCTCAGAGGGCCATGCGTTCATTACGCGCACTCTATTTAACACGAGCAAACACAAAGAGGCCTCATTTAGCCTCATTGACTGTTTGGCCAAGTTGCTGTTAGCGGAGGGTCTGTAAAGGCCGGCTCGGTACACGTGGGGGGTGGTGATGCCAGAATCGCGAATGACCGGCCAGTTTTGTCTTTCCCACCACTGAAATGAGCCTGCCGCAGCAGGTACTCGTTGTCGGGTGAGTACGCCTGTGGGTATCCCGGACTCCATTCACACGCCACCGCTTGCTGGTGGTGTCTGTGGCAGGAATGTAACTCAGAATGCCCCGGTATTGGTGCAGTGCAGGTTGAATGAATTTTGTTTGGTTTTTAAAACAATTCATTTTATATTCACTCCTGGACAGTGGCCTCCAATATCACAATTTCTTAAGGTCCTGCGATGCCACAATCCATCTTAGTCGTGCACATCTCCTCACTGGCCGTTCTCTCCGCCGTGTTCTATCCATTGGCTGCCATTCCCATTTAAAAAGCGGTATGGAAAAAATAGGTTTTCCAAATTAGCGTTGAACTTATTTAACATGTTTGATTTAACGACACGTTACAATTCACGAATGAACAATCATTGCCCGTGTGCAGCCTGCTTCTGGCATAGTGGAGTATAATAATTGGGTTGATGCTGAGTTTCACTTTTAAAAGTAAGGTGACAAATTTGCATTTGTATTTAGTTTTGTTTAAACAAATATGATCTCAGATGTCCTCTTCTGCCGTCACCTCGATAGAGCCTCATTAACCACGCTTGGGATGTGCATGCTAATAATACTCTGAAAAAAATGTTCTCGTGTGTCAAACAGAAGTGTTTAATTCTCACTGCTAAAATAACCCAAGTTAAGTAAAAAAAAAGCCCGATTTAATGTGGTTGGAAATGTACTCATTTGTCCAGGAGGGCCGCAACTGAGTCGGATGACTTTTGTTTAGGAGGAGGGTCCTGCCACATTGGGTTTTTACTTTAAGATGTTTTCAGTCGTTAATGATGAGTTGTGGTTATTACACAAGCGGGAGGAAACCAGAGCACCCGGAGTAAACCCACGCACGCAAGGGGGGCAACACTCAATCCCCGTACAGATGGAAACAGATGGGGATTAGTCCACTTGCTGTACTGCCTTCTGGCAAACCCAGAGTAAGGCACTTCCTCGACGCTCACAGGAAAGGGGGAGTCTCATTACAGGTAGAGAGACCATCGTCTCGCTACAATTGAGAGGCCAGTTTAATGACGGGCGTCGGTCTGGATTTGAATCTCGGGTCACGCTGGGGTCACCTGGTGTCAGCTGGCCACTGGTGTCACCTGGTGTCACCTGGCCACTGGTGTCACCTCGTGTCACCTGGTGTCAGCTGGCCATTCGTGTCACCTTACCTGGCCACTCGTGTCACCTGGTGTCACCTGGTGTCACCTGGTGTCACCTGGCCACTGGTGTCACTTCGTGTCACCTGGTGTCACCTGGTGTCACCTCGTGTCACCTCGTGTCACTTGGTGTCAGCTGGCCATTCGTGTCACCTGACCTGGTCACTCGTGTCACCTGGTGTCACCTGGTGTCACCTGGCCACTGATGTCACCTCGTGTCACCTGGTGTCACTTGGTGTCACCTGGCCACTGGTGTCACCTGCTCACTGGTGTCACCTTACCTGACCACTTGTGTCACCTGGCTACTGGTGTCACCTGCGCGTATTTAGCGCCCCAACCATTCCTGACGCCTTGCCCCATCCTCTTCAGTGGATCATCTCCATAGAATAACAAACGCATCGTCGTTTTAATGTCATTTGTATAATTTGTTTCTGGCCTCCTTAGAATAATTCTGTTTTTATTTATACATCAGTGTGGTGGCATTCTGCGATGTTATTTTTCAGTGTTCGCACGTTGTCGGGCGACACAACCACTGTAGTGTACTCTGGTGCCTTCAAGTTTAATTTATTTTTACCTTCGCGCAATTAATCAGCTTTCTGTCCGCAGTCCTTGTGGCTGCATCGCCCACAGACGCTCTGGGTTCAGGGGTTAATTGTCTGCATCTGAATTCCCTCCCACGGCTCCTCATCGCCACCCTGCATCGCAGACCCCCACACAAAGCC